TTACTTATAAGGGTTTATAAGACTATTGAAATTTTTATAAGGATTTATAAACAAGAAATTTCTTATAAATGCTTATAAAATTACTTAAAAGGGTTTGTGAAATTACTTATAAGAGTTTATAAGATTACTTATAAGAGTTTATAATATTTCTTCTAAAGGTTTACAAGACTACATATATATTTTTAAAATAATTATTTTATTACTGTATTATCAAATCCACTAAAAATTGTCGAGAAATGTGGGAATCTTGACAGTACTTTTTCAGTGCCTTCTCAAAATGTCTATTGGATTGATATGTCTAAGAATTTTTAAATTATTTTATTATTGTATTGTCAAATCCACTTATAATTTTTTAAAAATGTGAGAATCTTTGAATTATTTTTTATTGTGTATTGTCAAATCTTGTTACAAAGTCGACAATAGATTGAAAAGTGAAAGAAATTTTAAAATTTGGAGTGGTATACATCTATAAATAATGCTATGCCATTTTATTTTTTTCACAACCATTGAATTCCATTAAGTTTTATACTCATCTAGAAACAAAATGCCACTTCGTTCTTGTGGATATAATCCAGAAGAAGATAAGTTATTATGTCTAATCTACATGGAAATTTCTCAAGATCCAATCAAAGAAATTTATCAGTCATCTGATTAATTTTGGTCTCGGGTGGTAGAAGGGTATGAGAATAGAAAAAATTCAACCTGGAGAGAGCGCTCAAAAAGATTTATCCAAGCTCGGATTCAAACAATTGAGAAAGCAACAAAGAAACTACATGCATGCATCAAACAATGTGAAAACAGACGTCCAAGTGGTGCTTCAAATGATGATATTGTAAGTTAATATATGGTTTATCAATTTATATATATTTTAAAATGTATGACAGACTGATTATTTTTTGTTTAAATTGCTATGCAGTTCAACCAAGCCAAAATGATGTTATCTGAAGATCCAAAATATAAATCTTGGAAATTCGATCATGTGTGGAACATTGTTAAGAATTTTGAGAAGTTTAAAGATGGTGAAACCTCTGCAAGAAATGTGAGAAACCTATGTGGTTTCGGTTATACATCTTCAGAATCGGAAAATCCCACTCCTGATTCAACTACACAAGCATCTCCAGGTTTGTCCTCATTTTCTTTAAATTTAGATGATAATGAAGATATTTTTGGCGGATCTTCATCTCAGCGACCGATTGGGGTGAAAAAAGCCAAACTGAAAAGAAAATGTGATGATCAAACATCAATGGCATTGAACAACTTAGAAGAAGGAAATAAACAACTTGTGGAGCAACTAAAGAAGACAAATGCACAAAGACAACAACATTTGGATATTCAAAGTATGAATTATGCCTTGAAAAAAGGAAAGGAAGAAAACAAAATTTTGTTTCAAGACTTAGATTCAATACAAGGTGCGAATATCCGTGCATATGTTCAAGCTCAACAAACACAAATTCTACAGAAAAGGGCTGCACAAGAACAAGATCAACAAACTCCTTCTCAATCTACTTTATTTGGACAATATTTTAATAATCTTGGTGGATCCCAAAATAATCTACCAGATTATTAAACCAATAGTTTATGAAATGTTAAGTTTTTCTTAAAAAAAAAATTAAGCTTATGTTAATTTTATTTGTTGTCTTTTATTTTTATTTATGATATTAATTATGTATTTTAATATTTATAATTTGTTAAGTAATTTTATGTTTGTTTTATATATTAAAATTATATTTTCACGTTTTTATTTATAAAATTAATTAATAATTGTTGGATGGAATTAATTCATTATCCGGTCAATGTGATCATGTCACTGCTAAGTGAAAAGGATTGACGAACGGTCACTGTGATCATGTCGCTGCTAAGAAAGAAGGAGTGACGAACGGTCACTGTGATCATGTCATTGGCAAGATGAAAGGAGTGACGAATGGTTATTGTGATCGTGTCGCTGATAGGAGAGTACGAATGACGAACGATCATTATGATCATGTACCTGAAAAGAATGTGAGTGACAAATGGTCACTAGAGAGAGTCTCAACATCGACTATTCGTTTTTTTCAATCGATTTAACATCGACCAGTGGTTTATTATAAGTCGTTGGTTCATATTCTTGAATAAACCGTCTAGAAAAGTTGGAGCGACTGACCGACATGAGCTCCCTATTCAAAAAAAAATACGGAAAGACCGACCGACATATAAAATTTAATTCAATAAGAATTAGGATGGACATAACCCTATAAATAGAGAAGTCTTAGAGCAAGGACGGACACACAAACACATACTGCAGAAAACCCTAAAAACTTTATTCCCACAACAGAGAACCGAACGACCAGATCTCTTTGTACCTTCGCTCTCGCCAATCGACGACGACTACCGAGCGACGGATGATACCAACTTACTTTGATTTTCGATATTGATTGCTTGTAACTCAATATTCGTGGATTAATAAAGATCTATCTCTTCTCGTCATTCCGTAGGAGTATTCACACATGAACCGGTTAAAATTTGCCCAAATAATATTTATTTATTGTTATATTTTAATAACAATATTATTTTATTTATATAGTAAACAAAATCATAGTTAAAGTTTTTTCCTCAATTCCACCATTAAATAAATGCGTTCGACATACATATTTAATGGTGAAATTGAGGAAAAAACCTTAACTATGATTTTTGAAGTAGCTGCCCCTACTCATACTGCGCGTGTGAGCGCGCCAAATTTAATGAACCATCTCAACTACCAAAACAACATAAGAAGAGCAATCAATATTTTATATTTTCTGCTGGATTTTGTTACAAATTGACGGTTATTTTTCCTTTGTTTGTTCATACTTCATACGATATGGTTGAGTATGGCACAAAATTAAATTTGGTTTCTGACACTGGTCGATGGAAGTATGGAACTGGAAAACAGAAACATGATTTAGTTGTGTACTTGTCTACTTGTGTTTAATTTGAATAAACTGAATTAATCTGATCAGAATCGAATATTGATTTAGTTAAAAATGTTTTACAATTCTATAAAAAAGATGTAATTAAACATGAACCTAATTTTTTTGTTTTAGAAAGTAAAGATTTATTGGACTATAATCGAAGTCAAAACTGTATCAAAACCACCAATTATTAATTCAGTTTTTATATATTGTTGGATTTGAAGCTATCCCAAGACACTAAACCGAGCAACAAATATGTTCAACTACCCACATCCCTAAATAAATGTTGGCTTTGTACCCTTCAAAGCTGCCTTTGGTCCAAAACCCAAAACCCTTTTAGAATTTAGACAGTTTTGTCTAAAAGTGTATATAAATGTAAGCATTTAAAAGTTGTCATACCTACAAAATTAAATATTTGTCATGTCCTCTAAAAGATTTGTGTTGGTATTTGGTGTATCTTAGTTAGAAATAATTGTTTTTTTCTTATCAATTATCCATATCAACTTCAGGCCAAAACATTTACAAATCTAAACTGAATATAGTTTAAAAATTCTTAATATCCTGTTTTGAATAATAAAAAAGCTCTTTAAAATGCATTATTAAATAAATATGCTTCTGACTTGGTACCACTTTCAATAGTGTATTTATGTGTCTTTCATGCGCATAAAAATTCCACAAGTCATTAATGTCAATATGACGATTGGTGAAACACATGCTCTCATATAGGAATAATAATTCAAAGATTTTTTTTTTTTTTTTGTTTCCCGAGAGCCATTTAAACCCAAACATGGGTAATACACAGTGTCGGACCGATTAATTTGAATGTCTGTGTCTAAATTTTTTAAATATGCTTTTTTATATATATTTTTTCAAAATTAAAATAATAAATCATTCATTAAACTACTATAGTCGAGTTTTTTAATTAAAGTTTGTTTATACTTTTGTAATTGTTTAAACCTGGACTCGAAAAAAACTAGAATTTGATTTCTAATAAAATTTTGTCTTAACAAAAAATATGCTCCTTCAGAATGGATGCTGCAAATGCTCGCGGCAGTCGACTCCCTTGCCTGCCCTCAAGGCTAGGAAAAAGTCAACCTGTGATTTAACACTTGGCTATAAGATTCTCGAGTATAAAATCAAGTTGTTCTTGACCCAAAAAACATTGAAGAAACATATCAGAGTTGTCTGTGTGAAATTTGAACTTTCTAGAATTATAGCATGAAGCCATGAATTCGACAACATTTGTATTTTTTTACAGGTAGAATAAGAAAGACTTCATAGTTCGACCAAAAAAGTAGAACAATCGGAGCAAAACGATACAGTTATAAATCTTTGTACAATGTATTCTTTTTACATACATTTTGTAAACAGTATAGTGTATTCAGATGCGAACAAACTTTTTAAGTGTTTTAATCATAATTAAGAGAACATATGGAAATAAAAGTTTTAATAACCATAATGGCAGTTTATCTAAATCTAATAACCACAACAATATTTTGGGCATTGGAAAGATTCAAAGAACAAATATGATTTTGTTTTATGATAAAATAAAACGCAAAGAATCAAACCAAAAGACTAGATTACATATTGCAAAAAATAATAATAAAACCCAAAGACTAGATTAAGATTACATATATAATTGGAAAATACTGATTTATTTACATAAAAAGATGGCGACAAGTCAAACAGGACAAAGGTGACGAAATCGAAATTATCCACAAATCGAAATTCCCCGCCGGAAATTTCAGTCTCACAACAAAGCTCGTAGCCCGAAGGCTTGACGTCACTTCATATCAAAGTTACGAAAACACCCGTATCCATTCTCGCGACCACCTATGGGTATTCTAGTCTTTTCAGGTATCCTACTGAACAATCCAATCAAATTTAATTTTTTTTGTTACACTATCCAAATAGTCCACGTGAGCAACGCTGCACGCTTATTCGACGGTGTCGTTTTGTGCTTCTGGCAAAACAGAAGAAAAAGGAAAAAAATAAAAATTTGCCGTTTTGTCGCTTTTATTGTGACGTTTGTTTCCTTTCTCTGCATTCTTCTCCTTCTGCTCAAATCTTTTGCTTACTCATCAAAAATCAATGACGAATCATCACAGATTATATTAGGGTTTTATTCGATTGCACGGATTCGTGTGGTGACATCACGTGACGTAGTGTCCATCACTGTCTCTTCTCTGCTGCGTTTCTTGTTCACGAGAGAGAGAGCGACTGTAGAGGTTCTAGAGAGAGAGAGAGAGAGAGAAAATGGAGACGGAGACGGAGACGGATGAAGAAATGGAGATGGAGGAGGAGCCAATGGTGTTCGAAGTGACGGAAATCGATTTGGAGTATGAGTTTGATGCTGCTCGTTGGTACGATTTCACTCGTGAGGAGTTACCTTTGGAGTCTCGTGTTGCTCAACTCTGGTTCGAGACCGCTCAATCATACCCACCGTCTCGTGAGTATTAGCTCTCGTTTGTTTTTTTTTTCTGTTGATTAGCTTCGTTTTCGTGAAATTTTGGGCTAAAATTGAGAAGTAGCAAAACGTTGGGGTGAATTTGATTGACTATGAAATTTCTAGGAGTTTAACTGAAATGTACATTGTTTCTTGTGTTTTAAGTGTCCGTTTTTATAATTTGATTCTTCTTGCTCTGAGAGATTGCAGAAGCTCTGAGAAAATGCAGAAGCTTCATTCAAAATGCAGAGCACCAACGAAATGTGTATTTATTATAATTCATTTGTATGCTTTTTCAGCTTTTGCAAACAAACTGTTAATGATGGAGAGAGAGGAGATTTCTGATGGCAAGACCGAGCCTTCGTCAAAATCAGAAGATGGAGAGGTTACACTTACAGTTACAGCAGATGTCCAAGAAAGCGATAGTGAAATCAGGCAGCAACCAGATGTGAATGAAACAGGTTCTGGATTACAGCATTGTGTTTGGTTTTAAATAGCCAAGCCAAAAAAATTGAAGACCCTACAAGTTATGCTGGATATGAAAAAAAGTGATCTTGTTTTCTTTTCAGGAAATGGAATGGGGTCTGGTGTTTTTACCTTCATTCAAGGTGGTGATTTGAAGAAAGTTCCAAATGAGTACTTACATAAAGGTGATCACTTTACTATCATATCATGTGGTTCAAATATTCCTTGATGTTTAAAGTCTCACTTTCTCTACTTTCTACCAGGACCAACATTTAGCAATCGAATACACACCGTTAAACTAAAATGCCAACGAAACTCAAGCACCAGGGCAGCACCTAGAAGCTCAACGTTGATGAAACCTACTGCTAGCCAATTGGCAAAACAAGATAATGCTAGGTGACTATGAGAACCAAATAATTCTTTGTGTCTTTCTTCTGTCTACTTAACATAATGCGTGGTTGTTTTGTTGGTCTCCTAGACACCGTATGCAAGTGGATGAAATTAAGAAGAAAGGCTTGTGTCCTTCATCTGGATCTGAAATCCATGCTTCTAAAAGACAGAAGCTCGATGGAGGTTACTTCACAAGGTAGAGTGTTTAGTAGTTCTAACTTTTGTTTTCTCCTGTTCCTTTTCAAAAAAGAAAATTGATTCAAGTGTTTGACTAGAGTCTAATCTTTGACCGTTGAATAAGCTCTTCTCTCTTTCAGGTTGCTGAAACGGCTCAGGAGATTAATTTTGTCCACAAGGCACTTAAGAAGGTTGCTGCTATCTGTTTCTTGATTACTTCTGAAACATATGGAAAATTCAATGTTCTTGTTTAAAGTCGGTGAGTTGTGAATCGTTTAATCGGTTGGTATATGGTTTTTCAGGGCGGAAGTCTTGATAGAAACTCACAATATGCCAGGACGAAGATTACTATCCCACATGAGCCTGATTTTGCAACATCACATAGAGCAAATAGTAGACGGTGAGGGGCTAGATATTTGGCTGACAGTATATTTAAAAAAAATGATCTCATCTTAAAGGTTGTTGCACCATTGATTATTTCAGGCACAAGAACGATGCTACATTGGACCAGGACCCAACATCAGTATATAGATTCAAAGCACGCCCCTTTAACCGAAAAGTTAGTACATTATATGCTATTACCAAACATGGAAATCATATTTCGTTATTATGTCCCAAGCTCAAGCATGTCTGTGTTGTCTGTAGATCTTTGAGGCTCCATCATTGCCCATTCGGAAGAAGAGCACTCCTAAACTACCAGAATTTCAAGTAAGCGTTAGAAACTGAATTGGGATGGTGATATTTTTCATGTTTTACAGGGTTTTGAGTTGATACTTCAGATTTCATATCTTGGGCTTCTAATCAGGAATTTCACTTGAAGACCTCAGAGAGAGCTATGCACCATTCATCAGCAGTATCAACAGGGAATAATTATTATAAGGTTATACATCACCTGAACTTACTGAATGTCATATCATGTAACAAGATTGCTCCATATCAATGTGTGTATCAAGCATGAATCTTTGTTTTTGACAGGGGTCAGATAAGCCTGATACGACAGCTATTCCTGACGGTGTTAACAGGGAACCAAGGAGGTATTACTACCTTTAAATTATAGAAAAAAAAATGGAGAGATTTCTTGCTTTGTTACTCCAAACTCTTGTATGAAATAATTGTAATTATTCTGCGAGCTGAATTTTAACAGAGCAAGAGCTGCGGATATACCTAAAGATGATGATAGAAAACACCATTTCAAAGCTCGTCCTCTTGACAATAAGGTATGATGTTATTATTTCTTGCGTTGCATTTGCTTGCTTCAAACTTTTCATACTAATAGGTACACTCATATAGGTTTCGTTTCTGTTGAACAGATGCTTTCAAGTAGACGAGACATTGGCATTTTCAGAAAAATCAAGCGAGAAACTACTGTTCCCTTGGTATGTCATTTGGTGTCTATATAATTTTCATGTGTACTTTTTGTTTTTTTCTTCCTACAATATACTCAAACTGTGCTTTAAGACTCAAACTCAGGAATTTAGTTTTCGCTCGGAAAAAAGAGTTCAACCAAATTTGCCAACAGACCTTTTTAGTAAGGTACATCACAGCTTCACAATAATTGGTTCCCAGAACATTATTTTCTCAGTTTCTGCAAGATCTTGGGTTTACAATGGTTTAACTTTACAGCTCTCAATAAAGTCCGAGCTCCAGCCAAACAATGGATCTCGATTAAGATTTCCTCAGCCTGAACAAGTAAATATTGCAACTTGTGAATCGTCTTTTCATCTGAGTTTCGTTCCTACCTTTAAAATCATATTGAGTTTACAATCCATTTCTTGGCATATAAGGCTCAAAGGAAAATAGACCCAACTCCTTTCAAGCAGGAAATGAAGTAAGCTAATTGACTCAAACCTACTACTACTCACAACTGTGGTTTCTTTAATCACTGACCATGTTACTACATTGCAGAGAACAAGCAAGGTTACGGGAAAACCGAGCGGTATATGGACCACTGGGAGGTAAGCTACAATCAGCATCCGGTGCAACTAAACTAACAAGTAATATACCAACTACTACATTTTCTTTCTTATTTTAGAGGTTGTTTATTTATTTTATATAGCTTTGAGGATCATTGTTGTTTTCGATTTGGCAGGAGCGTAGGCATTGGATGATCAGCTCCTTATTTTTTTTGTACATCAAGACTTGGTTTTCTTAGGGTAATAACTACTCTGAAATGAAGGCTAACATTATGAAGAAAGAACTAAAATGTGGTGTAACATTATAGTCTTGTGAATTTTGGCAAAAGGGAAATGTATATTGGTGGGATACTCATTTCTTTGATATGAATGAAATACAAAGAGAGGTTAATAGTGTTCTAAATCTCTCCTCCTGGTATATTTTGAGGTCTTACATAATATGTATACCTATGGCGTTTGCAATAAAGGAAAAAAAAATGTAAACAAATGGCTTCGCCCGGGTTCGAACCGGAGACCTTCAGTGTGTTAGACTGACGTGATAACCAACTACACCACGAAACCTTTTTGTTTATAAAAGTTGAACATATAAATATAACATAATAAATTTAATACATTCATTCCACACGTGTTGAGCTCCCATCTTCTCCAAGGAGTGAGAATGCTCTTCTCTTTCGTTGTGTCACCTATGTATAGCTTTACTCTCTCCGCACGGTTTATCATGGCGTATCCCTCACGCGCTCTGCCTCATCTTCATCACACGAAGCTTGTCCTTCGCTGCAGAATGTCTTCCTCTTCCTCTTCCTCTCTCGCTCATTCCATCGAGCTTCCGAGCCAACCCACCGAGCCCGTCCTTGTCGCTGCGGCGGCGGGAGTCTCTTCCTCTGATTTCAGGCGAGTTCTCGAATCTATGGCGTTTAATTTTCTCGAAATTCGTAGATTTTGTTTTCCAAAATTGTATTGGTTGGTGTTGTTAGGAATGCGATTGATTCATCTATGTTTAAGAATTGGCTGAGAAACTTGGAATCAGAGACTGGGATTTTAGCTGATGGGACAGTGACGTTAAAGCAAGTTCTTATTCAGGTACAAATTGATCTTAGATTCTATTAGATAACCTTTTTTTGGTTTCTATGGAGTTACTTGATTAGTCTATTCAAAACACCTCTTCATGTGTATGTATGTATGTATTGATCAAACATAAAGCATTTGATTCGATTTTGGAAGTTTCTTGATTAGTTTGATAGTTAACCTATGGTCTCAGAAGTAAAGTTCTAATGAAATTAGCTTTTGAATCTGATCTTAGGGAGTTGATATGTTCGGAAAAAGAATTGGATTTCTCAAATTCAAAGCGGATATTTTCGACAAGGAAACTAATCAGAAGGTATCTGATTATCTTCTTGTATCTGTATCAACTCAGTATACTCTTTCTTTAGTGCTCTTATATGTTAGTTTTTGCTTTGTCTATTTGTAAAGCTAAGACACACCATTAGGTTCCAGGTATTGTATTTGCACGAGGACCGGCTGTAGCCGTGCTCATTCTCTTGGAGTCCAATGGTGAGACTTATGCCGTTCTCACTGAGCAGGTGTCCATTTTTGCTCATTGACTTCTTTTTATACTTCTTGAAGCCGATATGCTTGCTACAATTTTTATTTGAATGTGGAAGATACACGATCATGTTTTTACGGGTTTGTTTTTACGGGTTTGTTTTTACAGGTTCGGGTTCCTACCGGGAAGATTGTTCTTGAACTACCTGCTGGGATGTTGGATGACGATGAAGGTGATTTTGTAGGAACTGCAGTTCGAGAGGTACCTCTTTCTTTAGTGTTTGTCAAACTAAAAAGGTTAAATCTTGAGATGCCAAACAGACCTAATATATTGGAAGTAAAAGAAACTAGAGAAGTTTAAGAGTTGACAAATTGCAAACGCCAATGACTTGCCCTGCAAAATGCTTAAGAGCTTAAGGAGGAATCTGAAATTGTAGAGAAGTCGAAGTACTGCGTATTGACAAAGGCTTTTGGACTCGTGTTTTGTGCAAGTTACATGACACTTCTGCTTCATGGATGGATATATCAGGTCGAAGAGGAGATAGGTATAAAACTGAAAAAAGAAGACATGGTTGATCTCACGGCTTTCCTTGACCCATCCACAGGCCACCGCGTCTTCCCTTCTCCCGTAAGCCATCGTTTTCTTAGCCCTTCTTCCATTTTTTTAGGATATGAGCGTCTTCCAACTTTCTTTATGTTGTAGTCTTAGAAGGTGCTTGGAATCTGATTGATTGTTTTCTCTTTCGGTGTCTCTATGGTTCAGGGAGGCTGTGATGAAGAAATGAGCGTGTTTCTGTACAGAAGGCAAGTGGAACAAGAGACAATCAGGCAGCTACAAGGTAAAGAGACAGGACTCCGAGAACACGGCGAGTTCATCAAAGTCCGACTCGTCCCATACAGAGAGCTCTGGCGCAAAACAGCTGATGCTAAGGTTCTTATAAGCATTGGTCTCTACGAAATGGCTCAGAGAGAGGGCCTCGTGCCCAGACACTGAACTACTGAAGCCAAACTCTGTTTCTCATAATCTGAGAGTCTGAACTGAAAGATATGATAACTAGATGCAAATTTAATTTATGTTTAAATCTCTCTTTTTTTTTTTTCTTTTTGTTCTAAAAAATAGTTTTGGATTAATTGGTCAAGCAATTAGGTAAACCGAAGAAAGTGAAGTTAAGTTGGTTTGGTTTTGACTGTCGCTCAGTAGAAGAAATTCAGGTTTAGTAACGTTGTAATTTAACGCGGGGTTTTACTTAAAGCTAGTTATAATTGGTTTAATTAAACCGATATCGGAGCTAGATTTCCTTTTTCTTGTAGAGCAGCATCAAACCCTATAACCTTCTATATATACACACAGAGAGGCCATCACTTGTCTGTTCCACACGGAAAACAAAATATTGCCTCCACAAAGAAAAAACCTCTCTCGTATTTGTTCTCTCTGTAGTTGTGAGATTAATTAAGAAATTCGAAGATATGGTGAAAAGAGGCGGCAACAAGAGGAAGATTCCTATGGAGAAGATCACGAAGAAAGAATCACTAGCCACTGCTTTCACCAAAAGGAGTTACGGTCTTTTCAGTAAAGCCTCGCAACTCTGTCTTCTCTCCGACGCACAAATAGCTGTTTTAGCGACTCCTCCTTCTTCGCATTCACATGTCTCCTTCTTCTCCTTTGGCCACTCTTCCGTAGATTCTCTCGTCTCGGATTTTCTCAAGGGAAAGCGTCCTCTTCCTGTGGCTCGGGAAGGGACGAGGGAGGAAGACATTGGTGTCATCTTGGCTCGTAAAGATTTGGGTTTAGGGTTGTGGTGGGAGGACGAGGTTCTTGCCCAATCGGAGAATCCTCAAGAATTGAACGACGCTATGAAGTCCATGTCGACTCTGTTGAGAAAATTTAAAGAGTTGCGTGAGGGAGAAGCTGTAAGATCAAACCCTAATTCGGATCGAACCCTAATTCCTCAAACCCTAATTCCTCAAACCCTAATCCCTGATGATGATTTACCTGCGAGTTTCAACGAGAACACTGAAGAGCAGAGTAAGATACTTGCGATTTGTGAAAGCTTTCGTGTTACGGAGGAGAAGAATAACATTAACAACAACAACGACGACAAGGATTTAACTGGAAGCTTGGAAGTTGGGTGCGATCAAGAGGTGGATATTGATCAGTTAATAGATTTCAACACGGCTTTTGATGCTTCAGCTTTCGATGATTGCCTTTTGGAGAGTACTGAGGAGAACACTACAGAGTTCTGATCATGTATAACCCTACCCACGACGATTATGTGTTCTGTTAATTTTGGTTAGAAATATGTATGTCTTTCTTATTGATGTAATGAAGAGTTCTGTTTGACCTTGATCAATTATTCCATATTTTATGGAAATTGATCTAACTCAAACGGTTTATCTTCGGTTTAGATTAATGGAAAAATTCTGTTTTATGTTTTGCATTTGTAGTTTCAAATCAAAAATCTTGTCTTTTATGAATCTACTACTATCTTTAATCAACTCATATATGGCTGATTCTTATCTTGTATTAAATTTGGTAGCTAGCCAAAAAAAAGATAATCATCAAATTAAAATGAGTATTACGACAAAAGCAGGTGAAATTTCGATTCTCTTCATATTATATAACCATCTCGTATTCATTTGGAGCTTTTACACAGTTAAACTTCAACTGTATCATCCAACTTTCAAATCGCATATACCTGACAGGGGAGTGTCATTATTATGCAATGAATATTTTCAGGGGAATGACAAGGCATTGTCATTTTCAAAATGCAGGCTATGTACTATTGACGTTTTGTAAGTTAAAGGATTGAAACTGTTGATAGATCTGACAGGTATATGCTTGACAATGCATTTGAGCTGTGTTATACAGATTGCAAATTCATTTTGGCTTTTACAAGATCATATTACAGGTACTGTTATACTGTTCCCAGGTGTGATGGTTATGGGAAAGCAAGGGTCTAGAGTGGTAGCAGTTTTAAAGCGTATCAAAGTTGTTTGTGCAGGAGGCAACTCTAGCCCAATTGATAACTCATTTTAGAATCAAATGATCATACAAACAAACCAAAAGCTTACGCTTTGCCAGATTTGAAAGTTGAAACTGTACAAGTTTTGACAATCAAAAGAAGAAACATTTTAATTACAGTCTTCTGGTTGCTACAAAACCACCAGACCAAATGAAGATGAATTACAACATAGAAGAACTTCTTCTTCATCAGCATTCTCTTAAAAAGATACTGACATATTCTTGTACATTTTGATGTGATATTCGTGGTAGAGTTTTGAGGATGAAGTTGAACCCCCTAAGATGAATGCCGTCCTCTCTTTCTTGATGATGGCCGGTCTTTCGAAGAACCATTGCTTCTGATAAAACGGCAAAAGGTAGAAACATGTCAGAAAATGCAGGAGAAATGAAGTTTTCTTTGGTTCATCAGGTTTCAGGTTTTGTAAGCTTACACATTGTCTGTTTTACTTGATGGCTCTTGTGTGACCCGTGATTGTGGAATCACCTGCAGAGAGAAATAAGGTTTACCACGTAAGATAAGAATCAGCCAATGATGATCCTTTTGACAAAACAGAGATGGATAAAACATACTGACAGGCAGACCAAGTTGTTTCATGCATCTGCTGTGGGTTTCAAGGTACTCTTCATAAGACTGCGAGCAAAAAGAACACAATCACAAGACTTTGTCAAAGATCACACAACAAGAAAACAAGAGCTCTCATGATGCTTTCTCAAGAAACAGAAGCAAGTCCCTGTAACATCAACTGTTAAAAAGCAAAACATGAGCCTGACCCTGATATATGTAAGTAATGTGGATCAAAACTTGAGCTCACTCAAAATGGCTCAGAGATTGAAAAATAGTACAAATGTTTTCACCAAGTTTCCAGTAGCGTGCAATTAGCATCTCTGATCCAACTAATAACATGATTTAATACAAGAACAACACACCGTAATAGAATGAAATTTCCAGCATAAGTTACAAGCAGATATGCCACTACCATGTTAAGAAAATCATCATCGGTTAAGGAACTCGCGAGAGGGCTCTCCAAAGGCAGACCCCATGAGTTGAAACGTAAAGGCTTCTCTTGCTCCTCTCGATAATTAGATACACCTGATGATGTATGAAGATATTCCGAGGCTACTCCATATCCTCTCTGTTGTGCAAGATGGAATCTGCTGAGGTCATCCTGGTTTGGGTAAATCGCAGGAGGGTAAGGCATCTGTACATGGCCCCACAGATTGTTGTTATACTCTTCGTCTCCTGAGGAAGATGGAGGCTCTACGCGAGACCTTTTCGTTGAATAATCATCCCTAGAAGAGCTGTGAGAGAGTAAAATCAAGAACAAGCAGATACAACAAGAACCAAAAAAACACCACATAGATTTTGAGATGAAACCTATTTATCAACCCGTCATCGCAGCTATTTGCATCAAGGAGCTCACAAAGTGCTTCACCGATATCTTCCGGCAACTCCTAAAGCATGCACGCATTAAAGAACTTCAAGTTAGTCATCTTCAGGCATTATCTTGTGTTGGGACAAATTCTAGGAGGTGAAAGCAAATATAAGAAACTTAAGGTATATACCTGGCAATCTCGGCTAATCTTGACAGGCTTGTAATCATTCAAAGGATTCTTGAGATGAAGTGTTTTCTGAAAAGGCAATTCACTCAGCCGCAACCATTTTACTTTAAAACTACGTCCCCAAGGATTGTTCTTACCACCTCCCTGGCTCCATATATGGTCTCGCCTCCAACCCACAGGAGACAACATCTGTGCATACCCTTGGAAGAATCCGCTCATGTTCACGCTGAAAATCAAAACCACACGACCAGAATTCTACATAAAAGAATATATAAAGTCAGTATACCAAACACTAAAATGTAAGATTATACAAACTAGAAAAAAGGAGAGGTTCTTACATGAAAAGCACCTTCCAATATTGGCTCATTCATTACTTGAGTAGCCCAAATCCCTCTCTCGACAGAAAGTTGAATATTCTCATAATTCAGACTTTTGATTATGAAATATCTCGTTTGGTACCCCGGTTTGTTGTTCTTATTCGAGTTCGAGCTTTCAAGCTGATCAGGTAAGTTGCCTCGTTCAACGTCCACCTTGGACGGCTTATGATCTTCCTTGCTTCTGTAACTTGAACTCTCTGTCCAAAGTAAAAATCAACAACCAAATCAAATCACAGATCTTCTCGGAAGAAAAAAGACATGCTACACATTTTACCTGGATCATCAGAGTTTCCTATATCTTGTTTCCAATCAGTCAAAGACGAATCAACAACAGATGCATTTTCCTTGCCAGTATCAGAAGACATGCCTATTCAAAATTCCAACTTGGCAGAAACACCTAAAGAAATGAGAGGAAATGAATACAAATCAAAAGCAGTAAAACCACTTTGATGAAAGAGAACATGATGATCAATCACCAACACAAACAGAAGTCACATAAAGTCCTTTAAAGAACAAGAATATAACACGAGTTGACTCATATAACAACGCAGAAATAAACATAAACAGAGAGATTTGCACTGAGCACAATCAAAATCGACTACTCGAATGAGAAACTAGTAGTAAGCCTTTTACCAAATCAAATGGTCTACTAATCAGAAATTAGTGTAGTTAGTAAGCATTAGTATACTACAACGAAAAAATTAGTCTAGTAATCAGAAATTGATGTAGCTGGTACTCAATAGTCTACCACAACGAATTAGGAAGTTCAACAGTAAGCAAAGATATGAGATTTATGAGCAAATGCCATAAAGTGCGTTTCTTTATCAATAAGAGAACTTGTATCGAATAAAAGTCGACAAAAAAAAATTATTTTTCTATTGACCCCAACAATTTTCCCCATAACCAAACAAGAACCCATGTGAGAAGACGAACAAATCAATAATCAAATTCGAGACAACCCACAGAATTAATTGAACAGCCGACAGTTACAGTAAGAAAGTACAGTTAACAGTAGAGAAGCCGAACCTGGAATTATCAAAAAGCTTCTCGGTGGTCAGAGAAAGAGAGAAACACAAGTCAAGAAGAAACAAGAGATGTAAATGATTCTTTTTCTGTTTCTTTATTTTGAAAAATACAACGAAAGCCCTAATCTTCTCTGTTCGGCATCCCTCTTTTCGCTTCTTTTCTGTTTTGTAATTTTTGTTTCTTCTTCTTCTTCTCTCTCTCTCTCTCTCTCTCTCTCTCTCTCTCTCTCTCTCTCTCTCTCTCTCTCTCTCTCTCTCTCTCTCTCTGGAATATGGTAGAGTGACGTGTAGGTGATGAAAGGTGCAAATTGAACGGACATGATGCGATGGAAGGTTTAATCTAACGGTGCATCATTTGGCTGTGAAAGGCTCAAGTTTACCGCTGGTGTATTGTAAAAATAGAGATAAATGAGCTCACAATTATCTAAGAGACCCACTTCATTAATGGGTCACCCCTTGGGCGGCCCAATACACCAATCCGAATAGATTCTTCTCACCACAGAAGTATAAACCAAATCAAGCCGATCTAACCAAACCAGATAAACAAAAATTCTGATTGGTTTAAATAATCATACTTTATGAATTCTGAAAAAAAAAAACAGAATCTTAATTTGAATCAAACCGAAAGCATAAAACACTGAACCAAAATCTTTTTAAATATAAACTAAAATCTTGTTCATGTTGCAGAAGTTGCTCGTTTATTTGTCTTCGCCTTGATTAAGCTTTTTCAAGTGCGTAAGTTCCAACATTTTCTCATCATATGACGTTTTTCTAACTTGCCTTGTTTTTTCCTTTTGCATCATGTATATTGCTTGATTTACACTGAACTTGGAACATAAGGGCACAAACTTGCTACTACACGTTTTCCAAGATCCAAACTTCTAAAGTATCCATCCTCTCCAATGAAGTTAACTCTGTTGGAAATAGAGTCTACATAGTCTTCTCCTCTTCGATGAAGAAACTCCTGGTTATCGGAATGTCATCGAAGTCTGGTCCCATATCAAGAACTTGCTCCATGACACATTTTTTTTTTCCGGAAATCTGTTTCCTTTATTAAACCATAAATCACTACAAGCTATGACCGAAGTCATACAGTTTTTAGAAAGCAGTTACAAAGAGTGAAAAAGTTTGGAGTACATGAATGAACCAGATACAATTGAATCTTCCGCTCAATTGACTTTAGTGCTTAGGATTGAAGAACTTTAGCCATGAGGCCCATGACCACCTCGGTTCCCATGTCCACGACCTGTGGATTGCCAACTCATCTCCTTAGCATTTGTTGATAGTTTAACCGGTCTTTCTCGAAGAATTCTTTTCCCCGAAGGTGTCATAAGATCCAACGAATCTGACTCTTTATCTGAATCTGATGGGTCCTCTTCTCCTTCGAGAGAAATCAATGAGCCAAACTTGTTAGAACCAAAATCGGGCTCAACTATTCTCTCACTTTCCTTTTGGACCGTAGATGGTGCTTGAGCAATAGTAGTAATGGTAACTGGAACAGATCTAGCAGCCTCCAAAGAAGGAGACTCAATAGTTTCATTGTTGCTGAGATTTGAAGGAGTGGTAGGAGGTTCTGTAGATATAGACACCTTCTCAGTTGCTGAGGCTGTAGTAAGTGGAATGGGATCTTCCACAATAGTAGGTTCAGAGTTTTGTACATTGATTGAAGCACCTAGCACATCTATGGCGTCCATCAAAACTGTTTTAGCAACTTCATTTGGAGCATTTTCAGCTTGTAAACAACGCTTGACCTTGTGTCCAAGCTGGCCACATCTACCACATTTAGATGGCAGCCAAGCGTATTCTACATCAACCATAGAAATAAAACCGTTATCATCCTCAGCGGCTATTCTTGTTGGAAAAGCTTTGCTCAGCTCAACCTCAACCAAAATCTTAGCTTCACCCATGAGAATGGGGTCTAATCTAGGCTTGTGGGTTGCCATAAGAGCACCTAAACCAGAGGCTATATGACTTATTCCTGGAATAGAATATAGGATGTTGGGTATTCTCTTTAAGGTAACCCACACTGGAATGGTTTTGATCTCAGGTATAGCCAATGACGCTTCTGGAGTCCAAGCAGCAACAAACATCAAGCAATCATCAACATGCCATAAACCCCTTTGGAGAACCCAATTCCTTGTCGATTCATCAGGAATATGGAATAGGTAATTAGAATCTCCAAGCTTCCTAATAGTTATTCGACAATTCTTTCCCAATAACTTATTAAACACAGCAAAGATTAGACCACCAGAGGGAGGAGAGCATCTATAGAACTGGCCTAATACATACTCTTTCTGGTTCTCTAATCCTTGCAACAAAACATGTGGAGGAATTGTTACCTTAGGAGTCCCATCTTCAAGAAATTTTGGCTCAGTTGCCCGATAGAGATTCCTTGAAGCCAGGTTCGTTTTTGCTGCCCATGGAAACCGAACATTGTCTTCAACTGCCACAGATTTTTGTACAACCAATGGTGCTCGAGCCTGCTGATTTTGACCGGTTTTGGAAGCTGATAAAGAAGGCCATATTTCTGGGTCTGCTCTTGAGATGCGAGGAGCTAGATGAGAGGATGAAGCCTTTGATAAATTCAACTTCTTAGTCCACGCACCTTTGAGTGAAGTAGATTGAATGGAACGATTGTGATTGACGTACTTATTCTCAACTTCCTTGCCGAGATTAGCAGCAAATATGGTCTCTGGAGCTAATTTGATCGGTTCAACTTCTCGAGTCTCCTCAATGGTAGACTTTGCAGCAGTTATGACCTCCCGAACAGAGACCACACTGAGCAAGTCTGATGGAGGAGCAGAGACGTTACTGATCGAAGAATTAGAGGCAAGAGAGATGGCTGGATTTGAATGAGGAGGCTTTGGAAGTTGAGATTCCTGAGGTGATTTGGCAGTAGGAGAAAGTGGGATTTGGCGAGGAGAGCCGGAGACGCAGGTCGCCGTCCAACGATTCAGATACGGCCAACGAGGATTTGGGGAATCAGGGTCTTTATCGCCGGAGCTATACATGGTTAGAAAGGGAAAGTGATGAATACAGAAGAGGTGGTTGCTGGTGAGGAAAAATCCAGCGACGATTCCGCGACGGCGTCCTCGTCGAGAGATCGGTTGGAAATCTTAGGGTTTCACCCAGAAAATCTCTTTTTGGGAGCGCGTGGTTTAGCGCCAATGCCGTGCTAACACATTTAGAGGTCTAAGACAATTTAGAAAATTGTGACCTTTTATAAGTGTATAATATTTACAAATTATAGAATTTAAAGATAAATCAAACTGTAAAAAATTATATTACGGAAATGTAAAAATATGTATAAAATAAATATATACGATATTTTAATGAATTTATCATTTAAAAATATATTAAAGTACGAAATACTTATTAAAACATATTAAAATGATAGAATAGCAGATAATATGTGAATAAATAAAATTAAATTCATTAGAATTATAGTAAAAATATGATAGATAAATTATGATTTAAAAGTAATCCATATCTCAAATATCCATGCTTCCATGTGCTTTAATGAAACAGCAAGATTCTCTTTTCTGACACAAGATATACTCACAAGGTCATTACCTCCAGCGCTAAACGGCAGATGCAGAAGCGGTCCGAATCTCTCTCTTGTAAAATCAAAACATATTATGTGATGCTCAAAGTCTTCTTCTTTTGGCTTCCTTTCTGAAGCTAACCAGTAAGTGTTTCCCTTGAGAGTCATGCCAAGCTTAAAAAACCATATACGCCAGTGTGGGGTGAAGACATTAAGAGTTGTCCATAAACCAGTGTCAAAATCGTAGATTTCATACCATAAGAAGTTGCTTCCAGGTGCTTGAAGAAGGCATAGGTCATCATCTGTAAACCTCAAGATTTTATGGCTACGACAAGATCTATTCTTCTTATTCACGTATCCTAGAGCATACACGTACAAGTCCATAGACTGTTCGTACCGTGACTTGTGTAAATATCTTGTTTTGATCCACCTTGTTTGTCCCCAATACGGATATTAAATCACAATCTTAGTGTCGTTTTTCAAGATGCATAACAATAAACCCTCACAGTAGAAAACTTGGGATATCTTGACTTGTTTGTCAAGGCAAGTAAGTTTGCCTTTAGGCTCTATAGATGGATCATTATCAAAGACGACGCTCTTTAGATAGAGATTGTCGTCCATTAACATGATCATCCGAGACTCCCCTTCCTTAGTTGCGAAAGCTGTTTTTTCAATTTGCATCTTTGCAAAACTCCGACTTTTCGATAATGAATCCCACGTTCTGCAAGTTGATCGCACTTCTCTCATATATTTTAAAGGAATTCTAGAGAAAATCTCCCCTACCAATTCCCTTGGAACGTTGGAGATCGTCGTCATTGTTTTTCCAAAGTTTGTAACAAAGTGTTTTTTTTTTTGTTCCTCTGGTTTCTTGCGGTTGTGGGAACTGAGTATATGTATGCAGAAACCCTATATGATGTAAACCCTAAACCCTAACGCAAAACTTCAATAGAAATTTAAAACAAGAGAACAATAGCTCTCTGTTTATTTCTTTTAAAAACTGTCTCATAAACAATGACCATCGTTTTCCTCATATAGAGTTTCGATGAAATCCCAAACCAAGTAGAAAACAATAAAATCTCCTAATTCCCAAAACAAAAAAGAAATTATGAAAGAAAGCAAAGAACACCAAATTAACGAAGGATGCACGGCATCCCTGTGCACAGTTTCCTTTTCTTTTCTTTTTTTTTTCCCACCGGCACAATCCTTCTTGTTCCTTGAGATCTTTATTTTTTCCAATTTGTGGATCTTTAGGGTAAAATTTCGTTGTATTTGCTTAAGTTTCTTTATAGAGTAATCTAAAGTAAAACAGTCATCAGCTTCTGAAAACACTCAAATTTCAAATTTACTTGAGTAAAGTTGCTATATTGAACTTGGGAACTTGGAAATCTTAGTTTGAATCAAACCCAAAAAATCAAAACTGAATCAAAACGTACATTAGTAGTTGGAAAATATAAGCTAAAATCTTGTTCATGGTGCAAATTGCAAATAGATGCTCGTTTTCTCATCTTGCTCGTTGATTATAAGCTTTTCAATTGCGACAAGTCTCTACATTTTCTCATCATATCGACACTTTTCTAAATTGCTTTGTTTTTTCATTTTTCATCCTGCAGATTTCTTGATTTGCACTGAACTTGGAACATAAGGGCACACACTTGCCACACACCCTTTGACTACATCTTCTACGACTCCGAGATCCAATCCTCTAAAGTATCCATCCTCTCCAATGAAGTTAACTTTGTTGTAAATCGAGTGCTCATAGTTTTTATAAAACCCCATGGCTACTTTCTTCTCTTCGTCGATGATGAAACTCTTGGAAATCGGAATGTCATCGAAGTCTGGTCCCATATCCATTTTCAAGAACTTGCTCCACAACACATTTTCTGCCTCAATCTTTGTAGTAATCCATATCTCAATCTCATTTGGACAAGCTTCGTTGTGCTGTAATGAAACAGCAAGCTTCTCTTCTCTGACACAAGATATATTTACATAGTCGCAACTAATCCCAGCGCTAAACGGCAGATGCAGAAACGGCCCAAATCTCTCTCTTGTAAAATCAAAACAGATCATGTGATACTCATGTTCGTCTCCTGAGTTCCTTTCTGAAGCACACCAGTAAGTGTTTCCCTTGAGAGTCACACCATGGTAAAAAAACAATATACGCCAGTGTGGGGTGACATCAAGAGTTGTCCATAAATCATAGTCAAAATCGTAAACCTCATACCACCAGAATTCGTCGCTTCCAGGTACATGGGCACGAAGGTTATCATCTATAAACCTCAAGATTTTGTGGCTACGACAAGATCTCTTCTTCTTGTTCACGTATCCGAGAGCATACTTGTAGTTGTACTTAAACCGTCCGTACTGTATCTCGTGAGAATATCTTGGTTCGATCCACCTTGTTTGCCCCCAATACGGATTCCAAATCACGACCTTAGTATCGTCTCTCAACGTGCATAACAATAAACCCTCACAGTGAAAAACTTGAGATACCCTGACTTGTTCTCCAAGGCAAGTAAGTTTGCCTTTAGGCTCTATAGATGGATCATTATCAAAGACGACTCTCTTTAGATAGAGATTGTAATCCATTAACATGATAATCTGAGACGACTCTTTTTCAATATGCATCTTTGTAAAACTCTGATTTTTCAATAAAACATCCCACTTTCTGCAAGTTAATTGCACAGATGCTCTCATAGATTTCAAAGGAATCCTACAGAAAATCTCTTCTAGCTCCCTTGGAAGGTTGGAGATAGTCGTCATCGTTTTTGTCCAAGGTTTGTAACAAAATTGTGGTTTTTTTTATTTTCCTCTGGTTGCTTGCGGTTGTGAAAAAGTATAGGTCAGACGATTGGAAAACAAAGAAACCCTAAACGAAGTTGGGCCATTCGTGGGCCTATGCACAATCCTTCTTCTTCTTTGAAATATTTTCCAAACGCAATCGATGCGTAATCAAAATCACTGGATATTTTTGCTGACGTGGAACTCTTCATCGCCACACGATCCGGCTATTGATTATCTCTTCCTAATTTTCCCTCCAATTAATTAAAAAAAAATCTGAAAACGTTCACTCTGTTCAATCAGATTCTCAATTCTCAACCACAAATCCTAAAGATCCTAACTTTTGTTTTACTTTCCCGGAAATCACACGAAAGAAGGATTTCAGTCTCTCCTCTTTCCCGGAAGAAAAAAGTATGTGCAGTAAGATGGCGTTTACTCTAACGATCCCTCGATTTTACTCTGCGATTTCTCGCAAACCCACCACTTGTTCATCTTCTTCGTTCTCGTCGTCGCCTTCGAGGCCACAGTGTGCTTACTTCAGCTATAGACGATCGATTTCTCTCAGACGAAGACTTTTCTTATTGCCCGTTAAAGCTACCACTGATCAATCAGGTCTGGATTTATTTTTGCCTCTTAAAGTTTCAATTTTTTTGGATTCGTTACTGTAAATCTCGAAAATTAGCCCTTTTCCAGGGTAAAATGTCACGATTTAATCCGCCGTAGGTTTTCCGTTTGAGAACATAGTTGATGTCACAAAGTTTCGATTTTTTTATTTATAGAAGATAGTTAGGCTAACTGATTTCCAATTTGTGGATCTTTATGGTAAATTTTCGTATGTATTTGCTTAAGGGTTATTTACAGAGTAATCTAAATTGAAACAATTATCAGTTTCTGAATTAAACAAAAAAAAAAAAAAGCACACTCAAAATTCAAATTTACTTGAGTAAAGTTGTTGTATGAACTTGGAGACCTTTTTGGTTCGTATGCTCTAATCAACCTTAAGATTGCATCTTTAGTTTTCAATTTTCAGTCATCACTTTCTGATCAAAACAATAAACACTCAGTCATGAAATTTTGAGAAAAGTGCATCACTTTAGGGGATTGTTGTTTTTATTCTTATGTTCTTATGTTCTAATTAACTATTTTAGGTTCCTCCTTGAGGTTTTACTAAGCATTTTGTAACACATACTTGATTTTCCGTTCAGGTCCGGTGGGTGGAGAAGAAGTGGATAGCAAGATTTTACCTTATTGTAGCATCAACAAGAATGAGAAGAGATCACTCGGCGAAATGGAACAAGAGTTTCTCCAAGCGATGCAAGTAACACAGAGAAAAATAATTAATTTTTGGTCTTTTGATGGATTACCGAAATATTCTGATATAGAAGTTTTCTAAGTCTGAAGATTGTTCTCTGCCTTTCTTTTGCAGTCATTCTATTACGAAGGCAAAGCGATTATGTCTAACGAAGAGTTTGATAACCTTAAAGAAGAGTTGATGTGGGAAGGAAGCAGTGTTGTGATGCTAAGTAATGAAACTATGATTTATAAAACTTTGTCTTAAGTTCCTTAGGCCTAAGTTCTTGATTTGTGATATACTTTTATGTACTGCAGGTTCTGATGAACAAAGATTCCTTGAAGCTTCGATGGCTTATGTCTCTGGAAACCCAATCTTGAGTGATGAAGAATATGATAAGCTGAAAATGAAACTAAAGGTTTGTATCTCTTTAGTTTTATATATCCATCTTTTTACATGTCTTAAGTTGGATCCGATTAATCATTGATTTCTTTTTCTGTAGATGGATGGAAGTGATATTGTGTGCGAGGGTCCAAGATGCAGCCTTCGTAGTAAAAAGGTAATAGTTATAAGATGATTGTTAAGCTATATTTGTTGGGATGCTTCCATTTAAGTTTCATTGTTTGAGACAAACTCTAGAGATATTATATACTTTTGGATTCATGATTATGCAGGTTTACAGTGATCTAGCCGTAGATTATTTCAAAATGTTCTTGTTGAATGTACCAGCAACTGTTGTTGCTCTCGGACTGTAAGTTATCGGTTCTATTCATGTCTCAAGTTTCAAATCACAAAGTCTCAGGTTTTGTTTGTTTACTTAACATTTCTGTTTTCTTCAATGGTTCTCCAGATTTTTCTTCCTCGATGACCTTACGGGTTTTGAAATCACGTACCTTCTCGAGGTAAAACCTCTATTGACCCATCTTTTATAGTTTGGAGAATATACTCGTAATCGTTACAAAATTTCTTGCAGCTTCCAGAACCATTCAGTTTCATTTTCACGTGGTTCGCTGCGGTGCCTGCAATTGTATATCTGGCGCTCTCACTCACTAAGCTAATCATCAAGGACTTCTTAATCTTGAAGGTAAAAAAGCTATTGATCTTCTCGGATCAATTCTTGAACACTGGTAAAACAAGAGATTATACTCATTAAAATGTTTAAGTTTTCTTGGAATCTATCTTTTCACAGGGCCCTTGTCCAAACTGTGGAACAGAGAATACATCCTTCTTTGGAACAATACTATCTATCTCCAATGACGGTTCCACCAACAATGTCAAGTGCTCCGGGTAAGCAAGCTCCTTAGCTTTAGACTCGAATCTGATCACAAAAGAAAGTCTATAACGTTTCTTGAAATATTTTGATTCTTAAAATTGGTTTCTTGTTTAGCTGTGGAACGGAGATGGTTTATGACTCGAGTTCTCGTTTGATCACATTGCCAGAAGGAGGCAAAGCTTAAACAATTAAGCCAAGGTTGAAATCTCATCGTAAATTTTAATTTCTGATCAATTCACTGTTGATTCAATGGAAAATTAAAGATTCTAGTTTTCTCTTCATTTTCTGTTTTCTCAGGGAAATGTATGTAAAATTTATACTAACAGTTGAAGGAAGGTGGAGAAATCAAAGAAGAAAGAAGGAGAAAAGGCAAAAGAGTTTGTTTGTGTGCTGTTTTGTATAATCTTGAGATCTTTCCATGTAGCTCTCGTTGACTTGTATTGTGTTTGTAAGTAAGTGTGAGGCGCAATCAGAGAGAAACATCATATAATTACTTCTTTGGGGAATTTCGCTCTCACTAGAAAAAAAATCAAGAAAAAATGGCACAACAATTACATACATTTGATTTTTTTTTTATTTGATAGTTTAATATGTGTGTATCATATAACTTGCATAGAAAATCTTATTAATCCTTGTGAACTGTAATATCAAATATGATGTTTTAAATCAACTTATAGGTGGCAGTAAAGACTTTTAAGATTTTTTGTAATTCTATAATTCATTTAAGTATGATTTCTATTAAAAGATGAAATATAGATAAAGTGGGGGAATATGTAATGAGAACTAGGGATTATTTATCTTTTGAGAGAATACACAAAGAAAAAAGTCATACAAACATTATAGCATGCCAATCTCTATCTTTTTAATATAAAAAAGGAGCAACGAATCAATGATGATCATCTTCTTCCCATGCCATCTTCTCATCATTCACCCTATTTTCTCTCACCAATAGACCTAGCTTCTACATGATTTCATTTAGATCTAACCCCAATACTTGTCAACTTCTTGATCTATGTTGGTAGACCGGAATTTTCTTTATCTAGTGGTTTGTAATAAAAGGTGTTGTATCTTGATACAATTTTATACATCATGAGGTTGAAAAGTTGAAAGAAGGAACCTTATTATATTGTAATAGAAGGTCTTTTATCTTCGATCTATGTTTTGCTATATAGTTAGCTTAAATAGAAATAAGAGACTGTAAGCAAAATTTTCTTATAAACCTTTTTCTTTTCTTTTGGATATGCCTTGCGCCATTGAAATAAAACTGTCTGTATAAGGGTGTGGGGACAAAAATTTGTAAATGTATCAGATGATCATCAAAGAATATAATCAAATCTTTCAGTAAATATATAAATATATGCAATGATCTTACAAGATTACAAAGTGTAAAGTAATGTCACGAGGCTCGAAAAAAGTAGGATAATATTGTAAGCATTATAAACATCGGTCATGCTTATTCATTATTGTGTCTTAAAAATACATAGTATATACTATATACTTATCATGTCTGTCCCCATAACACATGCCAACAAAGTAAAACACAATCAATCTCTTTCTCTCACTCTCTCCCAGTCTCTCTCTTCCTGATCATTTCTCTCTGCAAAGCCCTAAGAAACTTAATTCATCTCAGAATCTTTTGGATCCTTCTCACATGGGCTCCATAACATTCATCTTCATAATCCTTCTCTTGTATTTACAAGAATCCAATTCTCAAACTATCCAATCAGCACATCTCCTAGATCTTATGATCAGAGATTACACCATCAGAAACTTCAACATACATTTCAAGACAGGCACAATCCAGAAAATCCATCTTCCTTCAAATTTCTCCTCCATTGATATTGCTACGGCTAAGTTTAGATGCGGGAGTTTGAAGAGACACGGAGCAAGAATCGGTGAGTTTCACCTTGGTCCGGGCTTGACGGTGCAGCCATGTGTTGATAGAGTGATTCTGGTGAGACAGAATTTGGGTTCGGATTGGTCTTCTTCTATTTACTCAACTGGTTATAATTTAACCAGTTACAATTACGAGCTCGTGTCTCCGGTTCTCGGTTTATTGGCTTACAATTCTAACCCGGACGGTGTAGCTGTGAATCCTTATGAGGTTAACGTTATGGGAACAGAACAAAACCCTATTTTGATTGATTTCTTTAGCCACAAGGCAAGTGGTAGCCCTAAACCTACCACGAAGAAAAACTCATCACTCTTGTGTGCTTGCTTCACAAGTAACGGTAGCATAACGTTTAGAGAGCAAGTTTCAGCCTTTGTTTGCTTGGGAACAAGACAAGGGCATTACGCGCTCGTGACTAAAAATCCGCTAAGAGATCATGACGGTGACGGTGGTGGAGTGGTCACGCCGTCGTCTTCTCCGGCAGTAAATGGCGGGGGGAGATTGAGCCAATGGAAAGTGGCGGTTGGGTGCGTGATTGGGGCAATGATTGGAGCGTTTCTGTTAGGGTTATTGGTTGTGGCGATGTTAGTGAAAGGGAAGAAGAAAGCGATGAGAGAGGAAATAGAGAGGAGAGCTTATGAAGAGGAAGCACTTCAGGTTTCAATGGTCGGTCATGTTAGGGCTAATCCTAATGCTTCGAGAACAAGAACGGTTCCCAGATTTGATAGCAATAGGTATAGTAACAAACAATAACAAACTAATTAGTTAGATCGACCTTCTTGATGATCATTTGTTTTCCACTTTTTAGTGTCAATTGAGTTTTTTTTTTTTTTTAATAAACAGCTTAAGATGTTTTTAATCACTATCTAGGAGATTTAATGGAATTAACTGTTTAGAAAATGACTAATATTCAAAAATTATTAATTTAAGCTGTTTTGGGTTAGTTGGTTAATTTAAGACCACATTAGATAATTAGGTCACCATAAAGAAGAAAGAATATGTAATCGTTATTTATACATTTTGAATATAAAACACTGTTATAAATTCTGGTGAAAACTCATCAGATGAAAGAATGTGTTCCCACAGTTCTATTTTACTACGATTATATTTATACTTAGTCACAACATTCCTTCCCACTAGAGCTACATCCTCATCCTCTTCACCGAATCTCTTGAGCTTGTTCTTTAGATTTGATTTCGTTTTAGGTCGCTTTGGTAACTGAGAGCCTCAGTCCCGAATCGATCTTGTAATCCTTTCTTTGAGTGATAATAAAATCGAGAGTTTTCCTTAACACATTCCTTCCCACTAGGCACTAGAGCTACATCCTCATCCTCTTCACCGTGGCTGCCATGCGAGGAGTGAGACCAAGGAATCGTGCTCAATGCAGAATTCTATAACCTAGAATCTAACCTGCTCGAATTTAATTATTATGCCTTGACATAAGTTAAATGCAAGAGAAGTAATTAGTACTTATTAAATACCAGAGAATTATTGATAGGCTGAGAGACAGCTAAAGTTAACTTAGCGGTGACGTCAACTGTGAGTGAGAATCTTGGCAGCTTTGATGGATGTTTCTTCTCATCAACTCCTAAGAACAATACACTCAGTTTAGAAGCTTCGAAAATCGGCTGTCCAAATAATCTTGCAATCTTAAACCATTTGGAATGTAATAATAATATAAGATAGATCGAAGAAACTAACAATAAAACCTTATCACAATCTCTAATAACAGATGTTTTCACTTTGTTGACGTAAACACACAACCAAAAAAAAAGGAGCATGTGGATCGAAAGGGGAGGGAAAAAAAAATCAGAAGCAGAGCTGCGAAAACAGAGTCTTTTATTGTTGTCATTTTCTATTAACACTTGAAAAAAAATAAACTTTCACTTTGCCTCTCGTTCTCGACCATCTCCAACAGTTGTTAAAGGGTTCTTCATTCATTTTTAATTAAAAATGGAAAAATTATCAAAAAAGCCTCAATTTTCAAATTTTGGCCATTAAAATCATGAACTATCGTGTGGATAGTTTAAATCATCATATTTGGTTGACTTTATATTTAAATCATTAACTTTTGTTGACTCGGCCAAAAATGATATAACGTTAAATTTTTAAACAGAACAAGTAAACGGTGTTAAAAACCATTAGAAAACTCAGTTAATTAAAACAACGACGTTATACTTTAAATCTTAAGTCCCCAAAATCCAAATTGATTTTCAATTTCTCTGAACCCTAATTTTCAAAAATCCCCAATTCAATTTTTATCATCCTCAAATTGGTTCTCTCTTCCTCTTCTAAATCGGGTTTAAATTTCCTTCTATCTATTTCAGAAGCTACTTCCTCAGCAAATCCAAGATACACTAATAACATTTACCCAGTCTCTCCAAAAACATTCGACAAGAATCTGCAAATTTTTTTTGTATTTTGTTTAACAAATTTATATCTTATATTTGTTTCTGTTTCTCGTATTTTTTATAAGAAAAACATTGCATCCATGTATTATGAATCGATTTAGGGGAGTAAGAGAAAAGAAATCGACTTGGGGATGAGAACAATAGAATTGGAGATCTTACAAAATAAGGTTTAGAGAAATTCAAAATTGTCTAAAAGAGTTTTTTTTTAAAAGAAGAAGGGTTTGTCTAAAATTGTCTAAAACAGAGAAGAAGAAATAAGAATAGGAAGGCTTTGCCCGAATTCATCAAAACAGGAAGAAAAAGACGAGAGGAGATAGAGAAAGACAAGAGTCAAACATGGTTTGATTTGGGGAAAAAATACGAGAGCAGATAGAGAAAAAAAATGAGAAAAGAATTTGATTTGGGGAAAATCAATTTTATGATTTAAGGTTTGAAAGTTTTTGATTTGAGGATTTTATGTTTGTGGAAGTTATGTAGTTTTGTTTTAACAGAGATTTAAAAGAGGAGTTAACCCCGTTAATTAAATCTGTTAGTTAAATTGACGTTAGGCTTTATTTGGCCGAGTCAAACAAAGTTAGTGATTTAAAAACCAAGTCAATATAAGTTTGTAGTTTAAAGTGTTCTACCGATAGTTGGTGCTTAAATTGGCCAAAATTAGAAAGTTGAGGATTTAAATGACATTTTTCCAATTAAAAAATCTATTATATAAAAATTCAATTGAGTCTTACAAGCTTGACACATAAGCATTCTATATTTTGACATATTTAGATTTTGAAAAAATTAATTTTCTCAGTCCCAAAAAAAAATTTAATTCATCAACCATGACACAAATACAAAAATAGTTTATATCTCGAAAAGTCATTTTCTTACAATAAAAAGGAAATGTATTGAACTTGTAGTGTTACCACTTTTTAAAGCACACCCGAAAAAATTGAATGACACTAAAATAAATTTGAAGAATCAAGAGCCATAATCATATGTTATTATAAAATAGAGCGGCATTCCACCTATTTTTCAGCTTTCTCTTACACGCTCAAAGAGCTCCAGAAATCAGATATAGCGCCACTGCAGTCACGTTCATAACCAACATTGGGAAAGAATTAAGGTCTTCAAATAACATATCCAAAATACAGATTTTTTGTGTTACTTTTGTTTTAGTAATTGTGGCTTTTGGTGTTTCAGATCAGAAATGCGATCAAGTACATGGATATAATCACTCTACGTGTCTACGAGGAGGCAATGATAACCAATCTTTCCCTCGTAGAAAGAGAGCTATGAACAAGCTGTATGTAGCGTAATTACACAATATATATATATATATATCAATATTCCTATTTTATGTATATATAAGAAAAAACTTTATGAGCCATTAAAATAATTATTTCTTGTTTTCATATTAATATAGAGTTTTATGCGACGTTTTTTTTTTGTTCGCAAAACATTTAAAAAATCATAAATAGTTTCTATTTATTGCATACATGAAAAATTATGATATTTTTGTATTCGTAATGCTCTGGTGCCTAACAATATTCGGTTTAGAGCAAATGATATAACAAACGAAGTTGAAGTTTTTGAGGTATTTTGTTTTCTGTTCAATTTCTGTTTATAGTTTTCGTACATCTTTTGTAGATACATAAGACTGACATATAGTGAATGTTTAACTCAATATAAAATTAGCTATAAAATATTTTACGTAGCGCCTTATTTTCTGTCACATAGACAAAATTCTTTATGTATCAGGAGAATATAATGCCCAAACTCTATCATATTTATTCTATTGACGTCCGAACTTTATATTTTTTTAACAAAAAAAGATTATTTAGAAAGAAATTATTGTTTTTAATATTTATTACCCTAAGAAGAACTCAAAGGATTTGAGATGAGATTTAAAAGCTAAGCTGAAACAAACAAACACAATATTTTGTATTTTATTGTGTATCGATGAGTATACGTATTTGTTAACTTTATTTCATTAGTAAAAAAATAGAAAATATGTAATAAACAGACAGATATATGTCTAATAATAATTTAAAAAGATAACCATAGAAAGTGATTTGCGATTACATAATTTTATCATGATTTAGAAAATTTAAATTTGCATATATATATATATATATATTATTGATAAACTAAACTATTATATATATAAAAATTACTGCGTGTACACGCGGGGTTTTATCTAGTAAAGATTAAAGCCCAATAAACTCACGTACCGCTCCTTGATGAAGAAGAGATTTTAGAACCCATGAACAACCTCATACCTGTCATCATATGGTTAGTGCAAGTAATAAAAATTATGTTTTTTTTTTTAGTTTTCTCTGGTTTCTTGCGGTTGTGGGAAAGAAGTATGCATGATGAATTTTATTGACAATTTCTCTCCCAGGCACATCTCCCAAAGCAGCCGCTCTTGATTTTCCTCTTCGTCGATCCTTCCTCTTCCGACCTCCATCTTCTCCTTTCCCTCCATCATTTTGCCCTCCAAGGTTTTCTGGTTGCTGAGTCAAGCCTTCGCGCCATCTCTGCCTCTCCGGTGACCGGTGCTCCTCGCGGTTAACCGGAGAAGGCCCCGTCTTTGTTTTTTTCTTTCTGTTTTTTGTTCTCTGGATCTCGCTCTGGTGTGTCACCGGTGAATCCCCTCCTTGTCTTCGCGGTGGCTCGATCCAAAGGGAGGCATGTGGTATTTGGTGTCTCCCTCGTTTCATCTCTTTGCAAGGTCGGATCTGAGTTTCTTTTGCCTCGTCATGGTGGCTCTGGTGCTCTAGGTGCTGGCGTTCGTGGAGGCAAAGCTTTCGTCTAGATCTCGTCGGTTCTCTGAATCTCTGAGGACTAGGTTCTGGGCCGATTGAAGGTGACGAGGCTGCTCTGCCTCTGTGGTTTGTCCGGTGGTTTGCTCTGTCATGCCGCTTGATGAGGTTAGGCTCTGGATCTTTCACGGATGAGCTGTGGCGTGTGGTAGGTTGCAGATTCTGGTTCGGCGTTTTCCTTTGTGGGGTGGCGGTGAGAGTTCTGCCTCGGATTTCGTCTTTCTCGGCTCTTTCTCACCTATGGTTGCATCTTTGTTTTGTGAGAGTTTCAGTTGTTTGTCTTGCTTACCGGTTGGTGTTGTTGTTTCTCTTGGTGCTGTTCTGTTGAGGTCTCTTCGAGATCGGCTCTGTGTCTTGTTTATCTTTCTTTCAGAGGAGGTAGTAAGGCTGCTGAGCTGTGAGGTTGTTTGGTTACGTGCTTGTCGACATCGGGGAAGTATCTTGGCAGCGCGAGCCTCTTCTTCTGGCTTTGTTAGTTAGTGTAGTCCTGTTTTAGCGTTGGATCTGAGTTTATTTGTTGAGCGTCGAACCGTAGACATAGAGGACTGTCTTGTTCGGGCCTCCTCGAACTTCTTAGAAGAATAACTCTTTTTCAGGCTGTCGGATGAAACAACTTCTGTTTTGCGAGATGGATGTTTCTCAGACTTGTCTCTTGTTATTCTCGATTCGACCTTATCTCGGTTTCAAATTTCCAGCCGGTTTTCAAGTTCTTTATCGCTACTTGACACTTGTTGCTTTTGCTTCAATATCGACAAAGTACCGATTGAATTTGCTTCCATGTTTTTTATTTTTTTTGCCATGGGACCAATCTTTTAGATAGTTCAATTTTTAACGCACTTTGTAACACCTAATTTTTCATTTAATGAATATTTACAATTTAGCAAAAAAAAAAAAAAGTATGCATGACTACTGAAAAAAAACAGAAACCCTAAATAAAGTTGGGTCAGTCGTGGGTTTATGCACAAATTCTTATTGAGCTGTAACGCAAAAATAAATATTGGGCTCTAAAACTCAAGCCCAATAAAAAAGATTTACTCTATCAATTATAAACCCTACCACACCAGATCTCTACCTTGTTTTCGCACCAATTTTTCCCCTTGACGTTTTCTGTTTCCCTCAAGAATTTCCCGGGAAAGAAAAAAAAAAAGGAAAAGCGAGCGAAAAAAAAAAAACAGAAAGATTTCATTTTTCTACGCAAATCTCGAATCCTGGAGGAACGAAGTAGCAAGAGGATCAAATCAACCATGGAAGAAGATCCTCCAGGAGACAATCAGACGGCGAAGTCGGCATCTCAGCTGAATCTTCCGCCGTCGATGAATCGACCGACGGTCTCACTCGAGACCCGAATCAACCGTTTAATCGATTACAAGCACTATCACTCTCCATCGAAGCCGATATACTCCGATAGGTTTATTCCGAGTAGATCTGGGTCTAATTTCGAGCTTTTCGGCCTCGAACCGTCGCCGAAAAAGGACGGCAAGGAAGAAGCGGCGGGTTCTTACGCGGGTCTTCTGCGAGCCGCGCTTTTTGGGCCGGAAACGCCGGAGAAAAGTGATGTCGTTACTGGGTTCTCTCCGTCGCGGAATATTTTCCGGTATAAGACGGAGACGCAGAGGTCTACGAACTCGTTCTCGCCGTTTGGCTCTGATGAGGCTCCTGGTGTTAGCCGTAGCCCCGCCAAGTCGCCGAGGAAGATTCTTAGGTCGGCTTATAAGGTGAGAGTTTCTTTCGATCTATTGGGGGATTTCTTACGGTGGCTAGGGTTTAAAGTTTTGGGATTTAGGGTTTGTGGGTTGAAATTAGGGTCACTAGAGTGGATTTTGTGTTTCTTGGATGGATTTCGCGTGTTGTTTATAGATTTTATGTTTCGAGACTTGCGATACTTGAATGCGTCCCTACAATTTCATCTCTGTGCGTGCATTTATGTATAACACTTGTGAGGCCTTAGTGAAGTCTTGTTGATAATTTGGAGTTAAGTGTTTTTGAAGAATGCATATTTTCTACTCTATTTTTCAACTACACATGTTTATCCCTTTGTTACATTTCCATTGTTGTTGTTGTTGTTGATAGGTATTGGATGCGCCGGCTCTGCAAGATGATTTTTACTTGAATCTCGTGGATTGGTCGGCACAAAATGTTCTTGCAGTGGGATTAGGGAACTGCGTTTATTTGTGGAATGCTTGTAGTGGCAAGGTGAGTTTATTTTTTTCCTTTTCTTTTTTTCTTCCTGATTTGTAACCTTCTGGCTCATTCTTCTCTTAAAGTGGTTTGACTTTGGAATGTCTTTCTGTTATTCGCAGGTGACTAAGTTATGCGATGTTGGGATTGATGACAGCGTTTGCTCAGTCGGTTGGGCACTGCGTGGAACACATTTGGCGATTGGAACTAGTAGCGGAACTGTACAGGTAAGTTGAACAAGATACATTTGGCTCTTTCAGTCAATGTATGCCTCTATCTATCTATATACAATACCTTTTTACCACTTGAATCTGGATTCGGAAACTAGAACATGATTAGAACTCAAAAGGTGCGGCTTTCTGAATATTTATTCTTATAAGAATGCACTCGCGATGGATGTGGAATGCATTTCCTATCCTTTTATTGGATTCTTGAACATACTTGGAACAATTGTTTGTTTTCATCACACATATATGTTTGTTTCTTAGTTCACTGAATCATATGGGGCCGCATAAAACTGCTTATTGGTGGCTAAGATGGTCACTCTAAAACTTATCCTTAGTGTATTGAAAATACAATTTGTTGTAGTTGTCTTGTTGGGGACACCGTCATATTTCATGTTCTGATTTACTCTTGCTGTTTATTTTTCCACTAGATTTGGGATGCGTCGCGGTGCCAGAGAATAAGAACAATGGAAGGTCATCGTCAAAGGGTTGGAGCCTTGGCATGGAGCTCATCAGTACTGTCTTCTGGAAGCAGAGACAGGAGTATACTTCACAGAGACATACGGTCTCAAGAAGATCATGTCAGTAAGCTAACAGGTCACAAATCCGAAGTCTGTGGGCTCAAATGGTCTTATGATAACCGTGAGCTAGCATCAGGCGGAAATGACAATAGGGTATAAATATATAATCTTCATTCTGTGTCCAAGAAAAACATGACCTTCTTGAACACTAGAGTAATAATAGTTCTATGATCTTGCAGCTTTTTGTGTGGAACCAACACTCAACACAACCGGTTTTGAGATACTGTGAACACACAGCAGCGGTTAAAGCCATTGCGTGGTCTCCACATCATTACGGACTTCTTGCTTCCGGTGGTGGTACTGCTGATAGATGTATTCGTTTCTGGAACACGTCGTCAAACACTCATTTAAGTTGCATAGACACCAATAGTCAGGTAAACTTGCTTATGCTGGCTTTGAAAAAAACAACAAAAAAAACGACTTTTTACTTCGGGTTTTTCTTGGGGTTAAATAAAATATCTTTCTTTTATGCAGGTTTGTAACCTGGCTTGGTCTAAGAACGTGAATGAGCTTGTGAGCACCCACGGATATTCCCAAAACCAAATCATCGTATGGAAATATCCAACCATGTCTAAAGTAAGATGAATTCTGTGTTCTTTGTTTTCAGTTTCTTTTCTTTCTTGCTGTATATTGGGATATTTAACGATTGAAACTGTTCTCTGTTGCAGTTAGCAACTCTCACGGGTCATACGTTCCGCGTTCTGTACCTTGCGGTCTCACCAGATGGACAGGTTTGTCTTTTTATATTTTCTCATTACATAATAATACTTGTCATAATCACAATCTCAGATTTTTGCTTAATATATCTACACTTGAATCAACACACTTTTCTTATTTGTTGCAGACGATCGTTACAGGAGCAGGAGATGAAACCTTAAGATTCTGGAACGTCTTCCCTTCCCCGAAATCTCAGGTAAAGAACCCGAAGCATATCTTTTCTGATTCTTAAATCCTTTAATTCTCTGAAAACGAATAATGTGTAACACACACACACACACATACATTCTCTGTTTCTGTTCTCAGAGCAGGGAGAGCGAAATTGGGGCATTGTCTTTTGGTAGATCAACAATCCGGTGAAATCTTGAGATGATTCTTGATTTTCTTTTCTAATCTCCGGCGACGAAGAAACCAAACACATGCGTGTTAGTTGGTCGTCCTAACCAAACCTCCCATAGATTAGTGGAAACAAATTAAATTTAAGTTTTTTTTTCTTTTGCTGTGATCATTAGATTTTTCTTCTCCGTTGTATAGATTGGATTTTTTGTCTTCTGTAAATATTTATATTTGGTGAAACTTTTTTGAATACACCAAAGAGAGTGTAGAGTGGAGATTTCCTCTTGCCCAGAGTTCTGAGCTCTAAGATGATCTTTATGCTAGCTATGTAACCCAACGCACGTTATTGTCTCCCTTGTGATCTTCAGTTCTTCAATTATTATTATTGGTTATTGGTTTGAGTGAATTTATTCTTAATGTGTATATATATATATATGTATACCATATGTATATATGTTCGCATTTCGCAATATATTGTATACTATATGTCAATCTCTGATGGTCCAGGTTTTTAATTAAAAACATAAAGAGTTATGATGAGATTCTCCTGACAAAAATGTGTATCTCCTATAATTGAATTAAAGGAATCTTTGTATAACATTTTAACCCCTCAGAAAAAAGTTATTCGCTTCAACAGCACAGAGTGAGTTGAGAAGATTTAGCTTAAAAAAGGTTGAAACTCGTTAGAGAAGCATGTCACAAGAGACTCTCTCACAAGCATATGCAAAATTTCAATCTTTCTGAATTCTTTCTTTTGTTACGTTGTTTGAGTAATGTTTATTCCAAAAGTAATATAACTCAACATTCCTTCTCTTTTTTTTTTCTTAAAAAAAAAAAAAAACATATGTCCGGACCGTAAAGAAAGAAGTTGGTGGGACAAGAACAATGACTTAGTTTTTTTTTTTCAAATAATTTTGCCTCCACGTTTTTCTCGTACAACTATGATACATATACAAACAAGTCAGGTCTTTGTCTGTTTCTCCAATACGTTGTAATCAAATCTAATGTCAAGTCACCTTCTGTTCAATATGAAAAAGAAAAAAAAAACAAAAGCTACGTTGCATAATTGACGTAGCATCAAAGTATTAGATCCAGTAACCGCTTATATCTGTGATCCCATCATCACTAATCATATTAATTTGCTAAAAAAAAACTTGATTAAAATGTTACAAATGATTTATCTTTGCATAAGTTTGAGTTATGAGGCTAATGCATAGATACATTATCAATCATGAATTAGTTTGGATTTTTGAGTTTGAGTTTAAGTTAGAGTTTGAGTTAAAGTTTGAGTTAGAATATGTTATGGTTGAGTTACAATTTTGAGTTATGTCCTTTGTTAAATTGATAACTCAAAAGTTAACTCAACATCAAGAGATTTCTCATGTATTAGAGGTTGAATTAGATTTTGTTTTTGTTTTTGCTTTATCCCACATACTCATTTTCATGCATAGTATTTTTTTGCTGGAAAAAATAATTTCAAAAAAGCCTAATAAAACATAACACAATATACAATGCAAAAGAAAACGTTTATATTTTTTCTATTTTAAATGACATAACAAAACACTAGTACAACACAACATAAAAAAAATAATCAAATCTTCATGTATTTTTTCAAATAGTCAATGTTGACAAGATTTTTTTTTTGTGTATATGGACTTCTTGAGTAAAAATGTTTTAGAATGTAGTAGTTTGGGTTTTTTTTTTTAAAAAATATTCCTATCAATTTTTTTAATATAATACATTTGAATGTTGGTATTAATATTTTTTTAATTTTTTCTTATTATTTTTTAATAAATATAATTATTATTAATATATAATAAAAGTTTAATTTATTTATATAACATGTACTGTAATTTATATCACAGAAATGTTACCACTCAGTTATTTTAACAAAAAAATAACTCATATTTTTACAAGAAATTCACCGCATAAATCTACAGTTTATATTTTATAATTTTTACTGCAAGTTACATCAAATTACAACATCGATTGTAATTCAACTGCAAAATCATATGTTACCAATCGGAGCATTAACCAACAAAAAGACATGTTAGTTATTGACTACAACTAAAATAAACCATCAAAGCTTCAATACACAAATGACATAACTAAATAACTTTTCATTCTACAATCTAAAAATGGTTTGTTGAAACGCTAATTCTTTTAACTAAGGTGGCCAATATTATGAAAATTGCATTCTCAAGTCACTAGAGGGTGATACATCATTCCATATTTCCATCTGATAATCACTGATCGAACCTTTTGATACTATACATCTTAAGATATGTCTAATTTGCGTTATTATTTTCGTTTACTACGATTATACATATACTTAGTCACAACATTCCTTCCCACTAGAGCTGTATCATCATCCTCTTCACCGTGGCTGCCATGCGAGGAGTGAGACCAAGGAATCGTGCTCACCGCCGGAAAACAGCAGCTACAGTCATCCATGCAAGGCCGTTCTGGTAGGGTTTCACGCGTGTGAGTTCTACAACCATCTTGGGAAGTCGCCTCGCGAAGTGGCCCCCAACACTCGACCTTGTTGAACTCGTGGATGTTGGAATGGAAATAAACCCAAACAAGAGCTTCTTGTAGCTCAGGGTAATTGTTTAGCAAGTTCTTATCTCCATGGACAAATGCTTTCAACACCTATAATCAATCGGTCCAAAACCAAAATGAGAATCTAGTATAATTCTTCTTAGAACACCTTGTGTTCGATCTTCCATAAAAGACCACATATAACACATCGACACATTTCATGTGGATCATATACTAAAATGAAGTCTATTATTTGCATTTTTCAGTGATCAAAAGTATGGCACATTTGACAAAAAAAACGATTCATTACGCCGGCTAATAAATCTAAAACCACTCGACTATCATCATTTGGTTAATAACAAAACTTACCACCGGTAATTCTTTGTAAAATATGAAGTATCTAAGTTCCGCAATGAGATCTAAAAGGAAGTGGCCGCCGCTAATATGGCAATGAACGTGAAGAGACATTTTACTTTTCACCTTCTTCCACTCGGCCACCACTTCATCCCGGTACAACCTGTTTGCCCACCCCTGCAGCTGGTCATGTAGCCATGGTCCCATAAAAGTTATGTTAAAATGTCAAATTGAAATTAACCTGCTAAACTCTGATTATAATGTCTTTACATATATTAAATGGGGGAGAGGTGATTAGTACTTAATTACCTGAGAATTATTGATAGAGTGAGAGACAGCTAAAGTTAACTTAGCGGTGACGTCACTGTGAGTGAGAGTGTAAGTTCTTGGAAGCTTTGATGGATGCTTCTTCTCATCAACTCCTAAGAACAATACATTCAATTTAGAAGCTTCAAAATTCGCATGTCCAAATAATCTTGCAACCTTAAACCATTTGGAAAGAACAAAAAATCAGAAACAGAGCTGTGAAAAGTTTCTACTAAAATGTAAATATTTCTCATGGAAAAAAATTGAGATAACTACAGGAATAATAGATTGGTTCTTCCTCTTGGATCTTGTAATAGTGGGAAAGAGTGAACTACATATTGGTTTATCTGAAAGATCTGGTTTCAGATTTACCGGGATCAAGAGATTTGCCACCAAACCACACATCTCTCTCTCTCTCTCTCTCTCACAGAAATCGTAGAGATAATTATCAAAGAATGTAAAAGTTTCTGTGTGACTTGGTGCCAGATCGTAGTATTTAGCTATTTTATCTTTTGCTTTGCCGACCAAAACAAAACAAAACAATCTTGTCTTGACATTCATTTAGTAGACATATATAACACGTGAGTCTACTATTCACCTGACTTTACAAAACAAATACACAAGAGGAAATTTATACTTTTAACGTCATTTTTTATTAACAGCAGAAAAAGTACTGTCACTTTGCTTTTAGCTTTCTTAACCACCAAAGAAAAAGAAAAAGAAAAAAAAAGATACATTGTCTTGAGATCTAATCACTTCAATCTCTGAGAGTTAGGCATAGAAGTTCCCAACTCGCCACCCACAACACTCTCATCCTCTCTGCTATGTTGATAATGACGATGAGACCATGGGATCGCGCTAACCGGCGGAAAGCAACAGTTGCACTCATCGGGACAAGGCAGCTCCGGGAGAGTTTCACATTTTTTGCGGGTTCTATTTCCATCGTGGTGATGATGCGACGTAGCTTCCCAAAGCGGTCCCCAACATTCGACCTTGTTGTACTCGGGGACATTGGAATGGAAGTAAACCCAAACAGGAGATTCTTGTAGCTCAGGGTAGTTATTCAACAAGTTCCCATCTCCATGAACAAAAGCTTTCAACACCTATAAATCAACAGGTCCAAAATATAATTAAAAAGACAACATTGTTACATATCCTATAGAATACGAGTTTATCTTATAGCCACAGACTAATTTTCTGAATCTGCATACAAATTTCATAGTGTCTAAAACAATCTGATTAGAAAATATTCATGTATAGAAAATTCGCTTTAAAAAGCGCATACTCACCACTGGTAATTCTTTACAAAATATGTAATACCGAAGCTTTGCAATGAGATCCAAGAGGAAATGGCCACCACTAATGTGGCAATGAACGTGAAGTGACATTTTACCCTTCACTTTCTTCCACTCGGCGACTACTTCATCCCGGAACAACTTATTAGCCCATCCCTGCAACTGATTAACCCACATACAAAAAAAAAAAGAAGAACAATATCAGTATCCTAAAACACTGAACCCTTAAAATTTTGAGCACTATGGGGAGTTTTGTGATTTACCTGAGAATTATTGATAGATTGAGAAATAGCTAAAGTTAACTTAGCGGTTATGTCACTATGAGTAAGAGTGTAAGTTCTTGGGAGCTTTGATGGATGCTTCTTCTCATCAACTCCTAAGAATGATACTTTCAATTTGGAGGCTTCAAAAATCGCCGGTCCAAATAATCTTGCAACCTTTAACCAATCAAAACATACAAAAAGAAATCGATTATTTTCACAAGATTCATCAAATTTAAATTCAAAGAAGGCGCAGAAAATTAAAGGATAAACCCTAGGAAACAGAGTATACAAACTAAATCAACATAATTTGAACTCTGTTTCTAATATTTAATTTCCAGAAATAGTAACAGATCGAAACTAACTTACAAGAATAAGAAATGTGAAAACAGAGTGAAGGGAAACCAAAATTTTCACAGGAAGAAAGATTTGAGATTCTTACAGGAACAATAGATTTGTTCTTCATCTTGGATCTTTTCTTGGTAACAAAGAGTGAGCTATTGCTCTGTTTCTCTAAAAAAGCTGGTTTCATCTTCGATGGAAGTAACAGATTTGTCACCAAACTACACATCTCTGCTTAGTTTCCAATATCCGAAATCTGCAGAAAACAAGATTGAAGGGAAAAAAAAGATTGAAAAATGTTTAAAAACAGAGAAACCCTTTTGCGAGAACTCTATTGAGATCTTCACGCTATTCTTGCGTGTTCGTACACTGTAACCCACAAAATCAAAGCTTGCAACTTCGAAACAAAAAAATATCGAGAGCTTGCTTTCGCTTTCGGTTTAGCTTTTTTTCTTTTCTTTCTTCTTACGGGAAATTAGGGTTAATTCTTTTTGTTGTTGTTGTTGTTGCGTGTTGGGTTAAATAATCTTCGATACGAGTGAAAAGGAGAAGATTGCTTCTATTTCTAGACTTTCTCAAGCCCAAAGTTCTTGTTGAAGAGGTGAGACTGAGAGTGACACGTGGTGTCCAGCTTCTACACTGCATGAGCTGGCATGTGTCGTCACATTAAGGCTCACACGTGGCATTGATGGAGTTTCTCCGGTTCGTTATCGGATAACTACTCACCGTTCGAGACAAAGAGACAAGAGGTTCGGTTCTCTGCCGAATAATCTAGTTTACCTTTTCGGTTCCACAAACGATTCCGTACGACCTCATCTTTTAATTCAAGATTTATTTTTTGATTGTAGATTTATGAAAAAAAAAAACTAATTTTATATATATTGCCGACAAAATAAACTAATTTTAATTTTAGGAAAAATTATCAACAAGACATACATTTTCCACTTCTTTTAAATTGTAGATTTATCAAAATAAACTAATTTTATATTGCCGCCAAAAAACTAATTTTTCACATTATTTTTTTTTATCAACAATGCATAACATTTTCACTTATATTGGTTTTTAGTTGCATCCAGATGTTAATATCCCATTTGCAAAGGCTGATTTTAAACCAAAACGGAAAATAGATGCTGAATCTAGATGCAATATGTCAAAAATGAATAGGCCACAATAATATGTTATTTTACATCTCAAACTGTAAAAAATTTATCAAAAATCAAGATTAATCTCTACTATATAAATGTAGCTTGTACATTTTTTTTTTTGTAGCTTGTACATATTTTTTATAAGAGAATCAGTAGATCAATCTCTCATCAATCCAATAAACAGCATTCAAGCATAGCTAATCTCATTTACCTTATCTCCCTAACGTGAAGACACGGGTGACATAAGAGAGCTATGTCCGGGAGATAGAGATGGCGACAATAACCAATTAGTTTCTTCCTCTGCAAGAAATCGATTACCAAATGTTGGTTGGTTCAGGCAAAGGAGTAGAGGAACAACTAAACCAATGAAGAACATTATCTACACTCGGTCTCGTCTCTGGATTGTCATCGACACAGAGCAGAGAAATGTGAATGTATCTCAAGATTTCGCTTATGGAATCTTCGCTTTCTTCTTCTCTCATCACTTCATGGATCACATCGATGGCTTCTCCTCTGTTCCAGCATCTCATAACCTAAAAAGAAGACAAGATCAATTAATGAAACACTAAACAAGTATCGACACATTTGCCTTAAGGTATACTCACATATATAACCAGAGGTTCTTCGCCAATGGGATAAGCCTTTCTTCTGCTAATGATCGTCAAGATAGTAACTCCAAAGGCATAAACATCATATTTTACAGAAACACGTCCGGTTCGCATGTATTCTGGATCTAAAAACCCTCTGTTCATTATCCCAAAGTGTTGTTTGATTAGTCTCTAACGATCTTCAAAACATTAACTAGGTTAATAAGGTAACTTCACTAACACGGTACCGACAACTCCAGTTGTTTCCGCTTCACTTTCACCTTGTTGCATCATCCTCGCCAATTCAAAACCCGCGATTTTCGGTTTCATATCTGAATCCAATAGAATATTTTTAGGTTTAATGTCGCGGTGAACCATCCATAAACCGGATTCTTCATGGATGTAACGTAGCCCTCGAGCTATGCCTTGGACAATGTTTCTACACATCTTCCAGCTCAGCTGAGAAGCTCTATGTGGATCTGAAATACATTACCACAACGAGTGATGATAATTAAGAGCTTGAAAACTATAGACAGGATTGGACTTAGAAAGGATATTCAATTTTTTTTTCCTAACCATATATAAAACAATCAAGGCTTAGGTTAGGCATGAACTCGTAAACAAGGTAACGTTGGTCTAGCATAGAGCAGAAACCAAGAAGATGTATCAGGTTCTTGTGCCTAAGCTTAGACAAAATCTCGACTTCATTACGAAAATCTCTCTCACTTGGAACTTCTACGCAAACTCTTGACTGCTATTTCTTCTCCGCTTTGAAGACTACCCTGAATTAATTAAGGGAAAAAAGAAAACGAAACTATTAATACGAATCCAAATTCGAATTATACACTAATGGACCCGAATTTCTTTATTTATAAATCATGGCGAGGGTTAATCTATAAAGATTAAAGAAACAACCTTGTAAATAGAACCAAACCCGTCACGACCAATCAGATCTGAGAAGTCATTAGTTGCAGCCCTAATGGTGTCGAAGTCGAATTCGAAAACTGTAAAATATAGCAGAGACAAGTGAAAATATATATAATTCGTGGGTTTTTTTTTGTGTGTCAGATGTGAGGAAGAGAAAATTGAGGAACAAACCGAACACTTACTGCTTATGAAATCAGTAGACTTTCTCTTTCTTCTACGGAAAACGGTATCGAGTAATGAAGTAATGGCCATAGAGAAAACGAAGACGAAGACAGTGTTTGTCTAGATTTTCTTAGCAAACAAGTTATGGGAAACTTTAAGGAGAATTTTTTCTACAACGGTTGACTTTGACTGTTGACCTTGACTTCTATGGTTCCTTTTAGCTTATCTTTTGGGGTGTCTTTAGTTCTCTTCTTCACTTGTTTTTGTTGTACCAATTAAAACTCGAAAACATTGGTTGTAGTTGACCTTTTGACTTCTCTTTCTCATCCTAGCTTTTTTGGGGGGTTCTTTAATCTCTAGCTCTCCCTCTTCTTGAAAACATTGTTTAGAGGACTTCTTGAAAACATTGAATTCAATCTCGATGATGTTTATAGTAAATTATTTGCAAGTCTACAATATTCACAAGACCCGTTAAAGAAAATAGAAAATTTGGCAAGGTTAAGAAAAACATGTTCAGAAATAACTTCAGTCAAACAAAAGTTGGCATGACTTTGAACATATGGGCACAGATTCTAACTTCTTGAACATCTGATGCTCCTCTGTAGCTTTTGAAGAGAATGTCGCCATCTTTAGATGACCTGCCTTTGCTAGGATGTACTTTGCCAATTGTTTCTCTAGCTTTGTGCCTTTGTAACGTCTCCACTCCAAAATCTGGAGATGGGATGACAAACATTCAGGAACAGAACTCGGCTGGTTCCAGCATTCCATTGAGTCATTGTAACTGGTACAATGTATCTGAGATGCAACCACCACACGTGTTAGCGTTTAGACCACTTAAGAAACTGAAAAAAAAACACATAAAAATAGTAAGGAAACTGAATAAAATAATACATACCGACTTAAGCTTGAGAACTCGAAGTCTTGGTGCCTCTTTGAGTATACGAGTAAGTGAATCACACCATTCCGCAGAACATGTACAAAGCTCAAGATGTTCAAGAAACAAGAAGAAAGTGTCTGCATGGTATGGAATCTGCAACAGAAACGAACAAACCAGAGTAAGTACGTACTATTCATCATGACAGTAAACAATAAGGTTAATTAGAGATCTTTTGACATTATTGAGTTCATCAGATTAACAAAAGCTTACGTTTAAATTTTTGGAACACAAAGAGAGATGTTGGATCGAGGCAAGAGATCCTAGTAGACTTTTGGATTGATCACAAACAACCTCGACATTCGCCTTGACTAGCTTTGGCATATTTGTAAACTTTAGAAAGTTTTTTTTTTTTTTTGGTCGAACATGTTAAGAACTTTAGAAAGTTACTAACATGGTCTCTAATGTTCAAGTACTTTAAAGAAGGAGCATTGATAACAAATCCATGAACACCCGCGGGTGGAGACGCAGCATGTAAATAATCTATAGATAAACTCCTCAAAGTAGGAACGTTGATAGTGTAAACCTCCACACTAACATACGTGGAACGTCTTACAACCAAATCTTCAAGTACCGGACAGATACTTAGAAGCTTTTGAACAGATTCTTCGTGTGAGAAATTCACGGATAAAAGGTGAAGAGTCTTGAGGGACAAGAAACAAGCCCAAGGCGGAACGTCCACGAGATGTAGTTTGCAAAGTATCAAGGTCTCAAGGGTTTTACAAACATACAAGCGAGTCGGAAATTTAAGGGATCTGTAAACCAACTCGAATCTCAGCTCTCTTAAACCGTGATAAACTGTGGGTTTGGTCCAATACTCGAGCCATTCAGAATCATATGAGATAAGCTTGAAATCCAAGCTTCTTAGAACCTGAGGATTACTAAACGCCAAAGAACTGTAAATCATATCAACATCTCTCATGGAATATTTAGTTCTATGCTGCTCACCGATATTTAGTTTAGGCACCAACTTCCATAGAGACCGCCACCGCCGGGACAAGACACTCGTGGCTATCAAATCTTCGGGAAAAAGTGATGACAGTATCTTCAAGAGCAAATCATCTGGCAACTCGCTGATCATGCCCATCTTATGATATGTTCGTTATTGTTAGGTTCAAGAAATCAAACGATACGACGGAGAAAAAAAAAGAGAATTAGAGAACTCAAAACTCAAACAGTGGACTGAAGGGTTTGGTTGGATTTGCGTTGATATAGCGAAACTATTGTGAACAGTCCAAATAGGAATAATGGGGTTGTTGAATTTCCTTTTTTTTTTTTGTTTAAAAGTTAAAACAGATAAGTTTTGTTTTTCCCTCACAAATAATGTACGTATATATAACTGGTTCTATTATTTGATTTCTTTCTATATACTCAAATATCTATTTTATATGGAAATTACTTAGCAGAACTACATTATCTTGTTTTTTTTTTTGTTGGTTAAAAGGGTTTTCTTGTGAATTAATGAAATTTAAAGATATAGAGAACCTTAAAAATCAATCAATCCAAAAAGAATTACAAAAGAAGAAAACGCCGGTTTGGAACCGCAAACCGGAACAGAGAGCTTCGATAACGGGAAACCGAAACTAAACCGAAATGGAGAAGAGGCTCGGGGGAGGCTGAACTTGAATGAGATCGCTACAACCACTTGCAACGACGCTGCTCTTTAACCAAAGGAAAACGGCCCTAGTATATGTCCAAACCGGAGAAGAAGCAAACCAAACCAAACCGCCTATCTCCCCTTTGATAAAGCGTATCGTTTTTTAAATATTATTTTTGTTTCATAATATAAAGTGTTGTTTAGTATTGTCAGTGAAAAATTTTGAACAAAAATTCAGTTTTAACATTATTTTAGTGTATTAATTACAAGAAAAATTTAGTGTGTATTAATAAAGGATATTGTAAAACTTTTAATAGTTTTTTCAATAAGTGAATATTTGTAGAATAACACTATTTAACCTTTCATCTACCATTATTTAGATATTTTTCATATTGAATGTTGATTTCATTCAGATATGATAAGTTTGTAAATAATAACATAATAGTTTTTAGCTAAGTAAGAAACTATTTTTGCCAAAAAATAATATATATAAAAACAAGGTAAGATTTTAATAAAGAGAAACGAGCTCAATATTCATAGTCGATGCAATATTTAATTATCTAACTATGACTCCACACGAATTCGAGTTTACTGTGTTTGTGGTTATCGGAGATTACCAAAAAGTCCTTGTATTTACATGCCACGTAATATCAGCTCTCTCGTAATAGGGAGCATAATGATGGTTTAGGGTGGGTAGATCAGATTAGAGTAGGCAGACGAAATATCTCTGATATCTTGGTGCAGTCATTCTGAGCCACATCTTCTTCCCGCCCAGACAAGCATTTAATGCTGGATATGCTCAATATTTTATAGACAACCGTGCGAGAAGCAATGTATCACTGTATGTATACAACACAAGCTTTGTTGCTCTGCTATAAAATGTATTAGCTGTGAAGTGTTATCACTCGTTCTAGTGAAGCAGAGATATTTTCCAGCAATCGAAGAACAGCTAATAAAAGGGTTTCCAGAAGCTTACTTTTCACCCAACCAAAACAGGTATGACCACTTACTTCTGATACTCCATAAATGTCGATTTGGTTTCTTCTGATTTGTTGCTTGTTATAGTATATTTTATAGCTTTAAAGACAAATTTATTACAAACGAGAAATAACTTCCTCGTACGCCATTAATGCTCATATGAACTTCAAGAAACTGAAGATTACAATCGCATATTCAGGATAACAATTAAGTTAGCGGTGTGGTATAATTTTGAAAGCGTAAACTAATTGGATCTGTGTATTGACAGAAAGATGGGTCTGCCCGTGAGGTTTTTCCGAGGCGTTTGGAACAAATCTGTTGACGGAGAGTGGAGTTTCAAGGCAGACGACAGTGAGAGAGGGCACTCACTGATGATGAACGAGCGAGAAATGTTTGAAACGGTGGACCAGATGGCTAGGGTGCGCTACCTACTGAGCCTTACGAAACAATGGCTATGACATTCCAGCTTCCGGAGTGGATGGCGGAGCCACTAGGCCAAAAGAGTCCCCCTGTTAACATCCTCAATGATGGTGACGTCAAAGTCTTCATGGCGGTGCGTTTGGAGTGGGACTCACTAACACTGTATGTCAATGTGGGGGCTGACAATGTGGAGCCCTACCGGTTTCTGACCAGAACCAACGCTGTCATGACCGACCCACCACCAGGTTTTACTCAACCAAACGTTGCATTGGGCGCCAACATGTCGGGTACAGAAACTACCATGTTACATACCGTTAAAATCGAAAAGTTAAGTGAAAATACGTATGGTGGACTTGACGATGTTTACGCTTTTTGGGAAGGGCTCTTGGAAGGACGATGGGTGCTTATTGCTGAGAGTGTTCTCCATGAAGTTTTCAATGAAGATGAAAGGCGTTTCCTCCAAGAAGTGCATAACGCACTAACTGAACTAGATTCCTCTCGTGCCAACGCTGAAGGTTCCTCTACTAACTCATCTGGACAGCTTGGATTCCTGCTGCCTAAACCAAGTTTACAGATTCCAACCGTGTATGCGGGTGAGGGACCTCCAGCTGGAGTAACTGAAGGTGTGGCGAACATGACTCTCTGGACCACGGCTGGTGCAGGTAACGTATCGATTCAACTTATTCTGGTAGCGGTTACAGTATAAATCGATCCCTAACAATTTATTCAAATTATACAGAAAACCAGATGTCTTCAATGTATTTGGGTTCAATCAGCGCTGGAAAGCCAACTTCCCCGTACGGTGGCGATAAGGGGAAGGGAAAAAAGTACACAGAAGATGGTGGTCCCTATCTTGGTTTGACTATGGCTTGCAGTGGGGGTCCAAGTCAAAAACCTCAGACAAAATGAGAGAAAGACGACGAGGACTCAGATGAGGAGTCTGAAGATTATATATGTGAGTAATAAACTTGTTAGTTTGGTAACACGGAAATTAGTGGTGCAATATATTTCTTAGTTGTCTTCAGTTTATATATTACCAGTTCTGATGAGGCTGACGATTATATCTGTGCGTAATGAACTTATTAGAAGGGTAATACCAAGTTTAGTGATGCACCGATTGTATTATATCGCCAACGATTTCAATAACTGTAAACCTTATGTGGTTATTAACTATGTGAGTAATAAACTTATTAGTTCGGTAATACGGCAATTAGTGGTGCAAATTATTTCTTGGTTGTCTGGAGTTTATATATTACCATCTATGATGAGGATGACGATTATATCTGTGTAATGAACTTATTAGAAAGGTAATACTGAGTTTAGAGATGCACCAATTTTATTATATCGCCAACGATTTCACTAACTGAAACCTAACATGGTTATTAACTAATATATATCTTGCTCTCGTGTGTCATGTTCAGTTGACAAGCCCGGCGTTTTGTATGTCGGCATGGTGTTAAAGGATCAGGACTCATTCAAACTACACATGTCTCTTTATGCTTTATCTCAGAAGTTTCAGTACTATCACCGTCGATCAACCCCCAATTTGATGGTCCTACAAAGTGTGGGTCAGAGTTGCTCATAGCGGATTTACGCTGTGAGGATGGAGGGCATTGAGTGGTTCCAAATTAGGCGTGCCTCACTTCAGCATACCTGCACCGTCGACGAGCGTGGGGGTTTTCACAAACAGGCTACATCAAGTGTTATCGATGAAATGATGAGAGCCAAGTACGCCAGCAGAGCTGTTGGTCCAAGGCCAAACGAGTTGAGAGAGATGATGAGAGATGATCACGACATCCCAATCTCTTACTGCAAAGCGTGGCGGTCAAGAGAGCTGGCCCGCGAAGGTAATCTCGGATCAGCTGGCTCCTCTTCCAGAATCCTCCCAATGTTCCTCCAAAGGTTTATGGTTTTCAAATCCAGGGAGTGTTGTCTCTCTTGAAACCGACTTCGAGGTGGATGTTGGCCAGCGCTTCAAGTACCTTTTCTTCGCCTTGGGAGCAAGCTTGAATGGGTACCCTTATATGCGGAATGTTGTTGTGATAGACGGCGCACATTTGAAGGGTAAATATGGCGGTTGTCTGTTAACCGCGAGCTGCCAAGATGGAAACTACCAGCTCTTCCCCCATCGCTTTCGGGATTGTCGACGGCGAGAACGACAATGCCTGGATCTGGTTCTTCCGTAAGCTGATTGAGGTGATACCAGACAGACATGACTTGTTGTTTGTCTCTGACCGTCATAACTCTATCTACACGGATATACGGAAGGTAAATCAATCGCACACCCTATAATATCTACTCATACTGTTAGCATTATAACAATTTGTTTTCTGCATTAACAACGTTGTTACACGTCCAACATAAGTGATATCTTCCCAGTTAAATCGGGACCTAAACCTATTATATCTACATACATTGTTATCTCTGTAGTCATTTACTTTTTTCGAATTCATACCAATTACATGTCTAACATTGGTAATATCTGTAGGTGTATCCCATGGCGCAGCACTGCGCGTGCGTGGTCCATCTGCAGAGGAACATCCAGGCCATTTTCAAAAAACGTCTCCTCAGCTACATGGTATCCAAAGCCGCGCGTGTTTTTCTCTAATCAGATTTCTAAGACCACTTTGAGGAGATCCGTGAAACAGATGAGGGTTGCGCCAGCTACCTGACTGCGATTGGGTATGAACACTGGGCGAGATCTCATTTCCCAGGGGTGCGATACAACATAATGACGAGCAACGTCGTTGAATCTCAAAACAATGTCCTCCTCGGTGCGCGTGACCACCTAACTGTCCCGTTAATCGAGTGCATCCGGGCAACACTGATGGATTGGTTTGCGACGCGGCGTGAAGATGCTAATAGCTGTGATACCACGTTAACCCCTAAGATGGAGGAGTTACTGGCAAAGAATTTGAAATGTCAACAGGGTTCGCGTATCGCAAAATTAATCCTGATGAGTATGAGATTAGGAACAAAGAAGGAGTTCCTTTCATGGTTAATCGGGAAACCCAAACCTGCAGCTGTCAAGAGTTCCAGATGCTTCGCTATCCATGCTCCTATGCCGTGGTGGCCGCTATCTGTTCAAACACAAGGGTCGACTGTTTAGTAGCGGCGGAGTACACCAAGACTTTCTGGATTAAGGCGTACGAGTGCAGCATTTATCCGGTAACTGCGACTGCCCTAAATGAAACTGTCGGTGACGATTTCTCCGGGCTCAACCTCCTTCCCCCGCGAACAAGACGCCCCCTAGAAGGCCGAGCAAGACAAGAATCCGATCCCATGGAGAGATAAAGGTAACATAAACTTTAACTATTTACAATTAAGTTTATCAATCTAAAGTTTTGTTATCGTGACTAAAGCTTTTGTTGGATTTTCCCAGTTTGGACAACCAAAACGTTTCACCGTCTGTGGGCGCTGTGGTGGCTTCGGCCATAATCGTGCGACTTGTAAGATGCCTATCTAGTTTTAAGATGAAGGATGGAAGAACCGGAGGAAGCATGTAGCTGGTTTTTGTTTGCTTCTCCGTATTTTGGGTCGGATGTAATTTGTAATTTGCTTTCAAATTTGTGTAATATGAACTATGTCAGATGTTCCTTCGTGGAACCTGTTTTAGAACCCAGATGTTCCTTCATGTAGTATAACTCGGGAGCTGCAGTCGTTTCTCCCATCAGCTAAGTTAATGCATTTATCATTTTGTATTAAGTGTGTTGTTGCTTGTTAATTGTAGAATCACCGTGATAACTTTGATCTAAACTGTTAATGTCTGTGTTACCTGATAACTATAACGCTACACAGTAAAACTTTGATTTACTTTGTTAAAATTTATAGTCAGCTTGGTAAAGTGAAGTCATAGTCCTTTGAAGTCATAGTCCTTTTTCGCCATTATGGGTGTTCCTAGTTAATTATATAGTTACACGGGTAAAATTAGAATTAGTTAACAGTAAAGAAATGTGTTATTATCTATTACCTGTTTATGTAGATAGCTTCCGAATGAAACTTAATAGTTCTTATATAACCATTATGCCTGGAACTGTTATCTATTACCTGATAACTGTTATCTATTAAACTACTTTGGTATAATTTCGATTATACGTTTAACTCACTAGTTATTAAAACACCCAATAAATTTTAGATCCAGCTATAAAGACCATGCAGTTAACATGACGTACTAACGTTCCATGATCTGGTAACATAATAGTCATTTTGTATTTGTCATTTTGTATGAAGTGTGTTGTTACTTGTTAGTTGCAGGATTATCGAGATAACTTCGAGATAAACTGATAATGTCTATGTTACCTGATAACTATAGCGTTACACAGTAAAATTTTGGTTTACTTTGTTACAATATACGTAGTTAGATTGGAACAGTGAAGTGCTGGTCCTTTTACAATTTACAGTTTACGCCACTATGGGTGTTCCCAGATAATTACATAGTTACTAGGGTAAAATCTAACCTAGTTATTAGTAAAGTAATGTGTTTATTACCTGTTACTTATTTATGTAAAGTCCTAACATATTTTAGATCCAATTGTAGAGCCAAAGCAGCTAAGTTGACGTACTAAAGTTCCAGGATCTAATAACATAATAGTTATACCCCGTTCAAATAAATTAGTTCTAAGCAGCGATAACATAAAATTATAAATACATCTTCCCCCGACTTCCGTTACACACCTTCATCAAACTCTTCGTAAAACTTGACCGCCAGGATTTGGCTATCCTTGGTTAGTTTCTCAAGCGTAAGGGTCCTGCATCTCTCTGCCCCTCCGACGGAATGTACCATCATTAGCAACGCACTCGTCACCCCCAAATCGGTATGGATAAAGTTCTGTGGTAGCCCTTTTTTCCTGTTAAACGCGAAATGTTTGAAATCATTTGGTCGCTTGTACCCCGGGATCTGCTTCAGCACGTAAAGCAGCATTTGCGCAAGTGGCATGCAATCCTTTTTCAGAGCCGCATCAGTCCGAAATGCTGTGTTACAGTCAAGAATATGCATCGCCGCACCAGGGACGTCGACAAAAATGGCCACCCAATATTCTTTGTCCAAGTTGAATGGCATGTAGAGTCGCTCCGGAATAGCATTTTTGTGGCTCCAAGGCTCTAGATAATCCATTACCCCATCGCCAAAAACATATCTCGGCCTATCCTTAGTCGCTAATCTTGAAAACTTGCCCCAACATTTCATCAGTTGGGCCACAAATTTTGTCTCCATGAACTCCGTCCGGTTTTGCGCTGGGTTTGAGAACTGCCCACCATGCACCACCCTCACATACAGCAACAGCGTGTCCATCATCTGCGGGCGAACGGTTAAGCCGTTAACACAAATGAAAATATTCTAATACTAAAGTTGAATGTGTTCCTTTAAGTGTAACTTGTTAACAACGACAATGGTTTGTAAACGTTAAAGTTGGTTTACAATTCTAGAGTTTACCATTATAGACGAACAACTGGAAAAAATTACCTTCGAGTGCATTGGCTTAGTCCTCTCAGCGATGTCTAAAACATCTTTGCTGCTGACGGAAGTGCCATCACCGAGGCTAATAACACTAACCCCCGAAAATGTCCTGTCATCATACCAAAAAATTAATAGTAATAGTTAGATGAAATGTGGCCTACCGATTGGTCTTCAGCAATGCATGGAGCCTAACAAACTTCTCGAAGAATTCCCTCTGCTGCTCCGGCGAACATAAAAACGGGTTCGTCCCTATTGTGCATGTTAGCACCCTCTTGTCGATCTCATAGTCAGTTAAAGCAGAATTCTGAAGACAGGGTCTTTTGTCCCTCCGTAGCAAGACATTGCCATTCGCCGCATCCTCTGCGAAATCGTCTACACCGTCACCATCCTTTATTCCTACCCCAGCATCTACGACACTCTGACCAAGTTTGTGGTCAGCCTGGGGGGTCCTGCAGTGACGCATCCGGAGTAATCAAAATAAGTAATGAAAATATTAAGTATCACCGATAACTAATACGTTATCTATATATCAATATTGTTAGTCGTTAACAATAAATATAACTGCGATACCAATATTCGTCACTTATCAATCCTCACGAATGCTTACTGATTCAAAAGTAGTGGCAACATTGCTCTCGCCCACCTCCGATGATGCTGTCTGAAGCCGAAAATCCGCATTACCCCTATTTCCCATTTGCAGCACGCTCGTGGATGGCCCCGCGTTGGTGTTGGGCCGGGTAACCTAAAGCATATTTATGAATGAAAAGTACATACAAAAGACTGTCAAATTAATAACCCACACACACTCACCTTGTCTCCCATTTCTTTAACCATACCCACAGCGGCCGCAATTGCTGCGTCAGCGTCTACTTTGGCGTCATTGGTAGTTAGTCTACGACTATCCGAATGCGTCTGCGGTGCAGGGTTCATGATCGGGTTCTTGCTGACGTCTTTTGTAGATTCCGTTTTACCTCCAGCTGACAGAGATTTATCTAGAAATCCAAGGATGTTTGACAGGAGTTCTTCCTGCATATCTTTCAGTTTCTGATCAAGGGTATTCTTCAAATTCTCTTCATACCCAGCCACATCTTTCTCGATCACATCCATCTTGCCGATGGCAGATTTCAAAGTTGTTTCAATTGCAGCAAGCTGAAGCCTTGTCTGCTCACCCATCGTATCCCCAACAACCGGATACCCTTGGTTTCCTTTTTCTGAAGCCATTCCTGATATAGACTCCACCAACTTCTCTTTCTCTTTCTTTTCCCGTATCTCCTTCTTCTCATTCTTCAACTTCAAAAGCTCCGCTTGCGTCATGCCCCCTTTGAACATTTCTTTTGAGAATTGGAACCCCTCTCCAATCAGTCTTACCATGTTGTCAACCTTGAAGTCCTCCTCTTCATCGGACCAGCATAAGTCCTCATGGAAACTTACGGCGTCGGGGGCTTCAGGTATTATACAAAACACGTCGACCTGTACATGTGTTCTTTAACGGTTAACATAAAGATTAACTGTATAACATATATTGTTAACATAAGATATTAATCGGTTATCCGTTAACTATATGGTTATCCTCTAACATTCCATTTAGATGCTACATATTGTTTTCCGGCTAAATTAAATCACATTTACCTTGCCCTCTTCGTCTACCTCACGAGCGTGTCCCGGGCTGAATCCGAGTTTGGGAGCATCCGACCTAGTGGCTGGTTTTGGGAGAGCTTTATCAGTATCGTTTTGGTGTTCCTGGTTGGCCGTGTTATCTTCCACCCTAGCCCCATCAGAGACCTCGTCTGTTTCACCGTCATCGTCCTCGCCATCCTCTGATTCCGATGAAGACGACGAATCGTTTACTTGTATTACCTCCATCAATGCAGGCACTGCTTCGACGAGGATTAGTTGAACTGCGTGAAAAAAACCTTTGACAGCTACAGTACTCTGGGCTAGCGCTACCTCGTCTTTAACCTTAATGCTAGACATTAGCATTTCAAACCCAACCCGCCCCCATGGATACGCAAAGAACTCGTCGAGATCTCAAATCAGTTCGACGTGGTCGTGCATAATCTTGGACCTGTGGTTGGTGGGGCATAGAACTGCTCCGATAATGGCAAGACAGGCATACTTTAGACGGGTCGTCGTGTCCGCAACCGTCCTTTTTTTTAGCATCTTCGTCGCCATCTCAACGCTACAAACTTTGAGATTACCAAAAAAATCCGGCCAATACGGTTTTTCCTTCACCGGGTTTCGTTTCTTCTTCTTTGGTCTCGGTGGGTATTTACCGCACGGCAGCCTGGTGACTATCGCGAACTCTCTAAGCGAGACCCTAACCGGCCTTCCGGCAAAAAAAATCCAGATTTCGTGCCTCTTCTTGACTTGCAGTAGACGAGTTATTGTATAATGACCAAAGCTCCCGGAAAACGCTGGTTTTTCTGCAGTTGCGATGAGTTTGCCAAAAGGTGAATTCGCATGTACGCTCGCTCGTCCTCGTCAAGAGCGTCGAGAATATTACCGATTGTCTTGGTCTTGTGATATGAGTTGATTCGTTCGCCGGATGGTTCTTCGCGGCGGTAAAAATCATCAATGGTAAATCTAAATCGGCATGACAATCCTGTGGGAAATGACGGATTAATCGAGAATGTGCAGTTGTATCGCTCTAATCATATATATGTGTATGTAAGACTTACCGACTGTGAATACCGATCTCTCTGGCCAAATACTTCTACCGCTGCGCTGTCAACAAATTAACACGGTCTGTGCGCTGTTAATTTCAGAGTTGGATTTCTGCGAACCCTAATCCCTTTTTGTTCTTAGTCGGAAAAAGATAAGAAACCGGTTCAGCTAAAACTAAAAGCGTAATCGGTTATTCTTGGTTTTAATGAATAAATTATTTTAAAAAAATTCAAAAACGGCCGCTATAATTACCACGTTTCTTCTGACACAAACTTTAGATATCCCTATAGATGTAGGTTATAATAGGGGTTTTTTCGGATTAATTGAATTTATACAGTGTCTCTAATAGTGTTGCGTCAGTTTTGCAATTACGACCTCTATATACGTTAAAGGCTGCAAATTCTATTTAATAAAAGATAATGCGTAAACCTAGTGAACCACATCTACAACATCAGCTCACGAAAGCTTTCCTTTCAATGGTGTTATTGGATACACACACAACCTTCAAATCTACATCAGCTGATTATAGTTTGTGTGTTCACAACCTTCAAATCTACACATACAAACAAAGCAAAGTTCTTTCAATTCCCTATACACAAAATTTATCTTTAAATATTATTTGGCTTTTAAAAGATGTTATTGGATACACACACAAAGACAAAAAAACTAATTACATTAAGGGTCCCTTACATTAATCAACCTCTTTTTTCTTCAGAAAAGAGAAGACATCATAATATTCAAAGTTGTGAGATAATATTTTCAAGGTGAATGTATAAAGATAAATTAATTTGGAGGAAATTTTTTGGAGTGTCGAGTCTCAGGAGGTCCAATGAACAAATCAGTCACCACTTCTTCAATTTCATTGTCATATATGTCCACTTCTTCTGATGTTGATGATGATGGTGATGTTCTTGCTACTGTTCCTCCTCTTTCCATCTCATACTATATATATTCACACATTCACTCAAATTAAAACTCTCGTTTAGAAAGAGCAGTTACTTTCATCATAATAGAGTTAGAGAACAAACCAATACGTTAAATATAAAATCTAGAGAATCCGTATGCTAATAATATGATTTGTACCTTCTCCTTCAGCATTTTATTTTCTGCAATGAGGTTCCTCTCCTAGAATATTGACAAGGAACCGAAAAAAAAAATAGTCTAGTTGAGAGGATACGATACATTTATGTTTATAGTTAATTCATACATATATGAAAAAGCTAGACCGAGGTTTATGAGTTTTTACCTTTTCTTTTAACTTCTCAATTTCTTCACGTAGTAATTGGTACTGAATTTAAGAAAACAAAATAGCTAAATATTAATCAATTTTTACGATCTATCTTACAAAAAATAGCATAATATATAAGGTCATCTTCTAACTTTTACCATCGTATCATATCGTTCGTTTTTGGAACTACAATAACCATCTTACCTATCTCATGAATAAATCACGTGTACATGCATGCCTTTATGTGTGGTGGTAGTGTTTGCATAGGCAAACCAGTGTATAAGGTCATCTTCTAAGGATCGATGATCCTACGATTATATGTAGTGTAATCTTATCTACTTTACATATTTCTATATTATTATTTGAATAGACATTTATATAAATAAATTTTTATTTATAAAATATTATAAAATATTTTACATAAATAAATATTTATTTATAAAATATTACATAAATAAATCTTTATTTATAAAATATTACAAAAAATAAACTTGACAAATATAGATAGTTAAATATAGAACTCACAGATTTGTTTTGAATATATATGAATATAAATTAAAAAATATATTTATTTTTTACTTATTAAAATATTAAAATATATTCTATTATTTTAAATAATAATCAATCCATTTAATATCTCTATATTATTAATTGAGTAAACATTTACATAAATAAAATTTTATTTATAAAATATTACATAAATAAACTTTTATTTATAAGATATTACAAAAATAAACTTTACAAATATAGAAAACTCGACTAAATATTCTTCTCCGTAAGAGATAGTTAAATATAGAGCTCAAAGATTTGTTTTGAATATATATGGATATAAATAAAAAATATATTTAATTTCTTTATTTATTAAAATATTAAAATATATTATATTATTTTAAATAATAATCAATCCATATATATATGAAAAAATCTATTTAAACTTTTGCAATATTTTTTCATTTGTACTTTCATAATTAATTAGAATCATTTTGAAAATCATTTCAATATTTTTTGTAAAAAACTAAAATATGTTTTCAAAATTTAAATTGTATTTTTTACGGATTGGCCGAAAAATATTGTAATAAATTACAAAATAGATTAAATAGACGGGTTTGTCCACGTTGACAATTCTATATATAATCATTATTAACACATATTATATAATTTATCAACTAAAAATGATAGTTTGATCTCTACTAAAATATTAACAATTAAATTATTATTTTATGGATATCTATATTTAGATTCTAATCCATGTTGTATAAAATATACTAACATCATATCACTTTCACTTGTAAAAACTACTAATAATGAAATCGCATAACAAAACTATCTCAAAGTTCTATTTGATGATATATATATAAGTAAAAATCAGTTGTGTGATATTTATATATGCATTGTTATCTAATTACCACTAATTTTATTTATTTATATTTTTGGTTAAAGATTTTTGCTACTAATTTTAATTTAACTAAAAAATAAAAATTAAATTTAAAGATAATTTAAAAAACATTACCCCCCACAATGTGCGGATTAATTCCTAGTAATCAGGTTATTTGACAATCTTAATCGACCCAAACATAACTCTATCTACTATGATAAGTAGGAGTAATGATTTTATTTTCATCTACCAAAGGAAATAATAAGAGATATATAAGTTACCTTTTTGGCTCTTATTTTGGTTAAGCTTCGGTCCAACTGGTTCTCCAATTGTTGTAACTCCTCAATAGAAGATGCGTCAAGTCCTTCTCCCAGCAATTTTCTGCAATTGTTTTTTTTTTTGTCGATCATTATAATGTTATATATTTTTATCGTAAATAGAGAAGTTACATTACTGTCTAATTCTATATTCATAAAAAATGTAAATGATTTGGATTCACAAAACCTTTTTGAAATCTCCAGTTGTTCAATCTTTCTCGCCAAGCCATAGGTTTCGCCTTTCCCTTCCTGTCACAAGGTTTGATCATGTATATATAGAACAAACACAATATTGGATTAATATATAAGAAAACATGTACCTCTAAGAGCTTGCATAATACAAATTTCTGACTCACGTTCAATAGATTTTTTCTTCGCGCATATTCACAAAAAAGCGGTACGTATACGACGAATTAATAAAGACACGAAACAAGTAATTAACTAAAATTTATAATGAATTATGCCTGATCTTGATAAGTATATGTCTCGCAAATGATCAATGCATAAGAATCTATGGTGACAAATTACGAAAATTTTGCTTACCTGTGAGTTACCATCTCTCTTATGGTCAGAGCCGAGATCTTGTATTCGTTTTTGATATCGTTCCACTGTTTTTGTTATACTGAAAACAATTTCAGAAAATCACGATCAAGTCAATGTTAATTACAATACCACGGTTACAGCAAATGAGAAGCCAAAGTATACGGTATAGTTTTCTCAAACATTAAAACCATACCAATACTCACCCCAGGCATGTTCCAACAAACGCAAATACAATTGTATAATTACATCTATATTTAGTATTTTTAAAGAAACATATATAACCATTTCACATATATACAGATAAATATCTGATTTAATAAAATTTGTATCTATCATCTGCTGAAATCTGGAAGAATGAAGAAAAAACGCAATAAGTTCTATTTATTAAAAAAAAAAATCAAATCTCTAGTCATGTGGATATGGCCTAATTATGTATTCATAAAATAACTATATATGGTTAACTAGCTAGGTACATAGTTAATAACACCTAGTTAATTGTGATTAACCCATCTCAGCTTGCTTAAGAAATATTTCTCATTTGTTTTTTTGTCTAATAAAGTACGAACATATCATTAAATAAAAACATAATAAGCATACATTATAAATTCCTATATTTTATTACTACGCCAACAAATTAACAAATAGAGGAAGCATAAAAAGAATCAACATATTCTGATCCAGACACATGCTGATGACTCCTTCAGTACTGTCATCACTGAGATAAAGACCTTTGTACTATGTGGGTTAAAAGTGTAGCAAATGCCTCTTTGTTACCAGCATGTACATACATACACCATACATGATACATGCATCTACATATATACAAACAGTACTATGGAATGATGATATTATATTTATAAGGTCTAACTGGTAGCGATAGTTTGGGAGAATAAATTGACCCTAGTGATGATTTTTTTTAGAAAACTTTAATGTTGTTTTTGGAATTTTTAAAAATGTGTATTTATCAATTTGTGAAGTCTGTTTTTTTCTCTAACAAAACATATTGATAAACTAATTTGTTTTTGTACAGAAAATTTTCTACCAAGACATATGCTTTGTATGTCAATTTTTTTTTCCAGGTTCCATTTGATACTTTGTATTTGCATAATGTGATCAAGCATCTATCTATATGTGTTCTTGATCATGCCTAGCTGTTTATGAAATTATGTACACATAGGTGAGTTTAGAACATAAAAATATGTTTCAAAAATGTATATACTAATACAGTAATACACTCACTCACGTATGTACGTACGTGTACTTACATGATAAATATGCATAATACAATATTTGGCATCCCATGATACCATAATGCTGAAATCTCATCATCAGTATTCAGTGAAAACACCATTGGCTGATTCATATACACAACACAACAACAGCAACAAAATGCATGTAGTAGTATATGTCATTATGAGTATATATAGTCTAGTATACTCATATTTAAAAAAACATTTGCAAGTACATTTATACAAATTTATATAGACAGTACATGTGCTACAATAATTTTTTTATATAGTATGTGTACACTGTGCACACACATGACACATATATATGCACTACAGTTTATAGACGTGTTACAGTTTGTGTATGTGTGTGTGAGCGCATATGTGCGTAAAGTCTACCTACATATTGTGCAAATACACAAACAAGACCATATTTAGAGAGACGCACATCTAAATAAGGAAATATTGTTTTTTCCAAATCTGGTCATAAGGAACCAAGCAAAAACAGAATCTAGCTCATATGAAACTTTTTTGCCTAATCTGAGAAAGAACTTTATGCGCAAACTTACTGTTACGTAGTAAATAGAACTATACTTAAATAGAAATTTGTTTGGCTCTTCTTTGTCAAAAATGATATTTTAAGTGAATTTGTTTGGCTCTTCTTTGTCAAAATGATTAATTTAAGTGGGGGTGTTGATCCGTCCATAAATGCAAACTATCTTAAACTTAATCTATTTTGAATTTGCAAGGAAACCAGTTTACCCATGTGCAAACCACGTTTTTACCAGTTTCTTGAATCCTGACTTCTTTTTTTTTTCTTCTGATTTAGCTAGATTTTTCTTTCTCTCTAACATGAAGGATGTTCATTTTATCACCCATCAACCAACCAATATCAATCAACTCTACTAACTAGAAAAAAGAAGAATCAAATCGATCATTGATGCATCGATATAAAGCGAATGTGTATGTACATAAACTTACCTGGAAGAACTAGAGAACTCATAGAGTTTGCCTCTAGGAGAGAAGATAATCAGGGCAACTTCAGCATCGCAAAGGACAGATAGTTCAAAAGCCTTCTTCAAAAGTCCATTTCTTCTCTTGGAGAAAGTCACTTGCCTGCTCGTCGCGTTCTCTATCCTCTTCATCTCCGTCTTTCCCCTCACCATTTCTTCTATATGAATTTACCCTAAAATATATAATCAACACTAGAACTTGATTTTGCCCTCTCTTCCATGAGAATCATATCACAAAAAGTGGAACCTAATTACTTAATTTCAGTTAAATAAAATACCCATGAAAGGAAATTGTATGGAATACATTATTAAAATTGTTTATATAGACAAATTTCTTACTATTACATATTATTACATGAATAAAAAACATGAAGAACAAAGAACAATTCTGACCTTGTGCTATAAATAGAGAAGAGATCAACAAGAAATTTATACCAGATTTGAGAAAAAAAAATTACCCTCTTTGTTTTTGTGTATGCGTTTGATAAGAGAGAGAGAGAGAGGTGAGGGAGAGAGACAAGGATTGAGTCTTTGGAAAGAGTTGGTAAGAGAGAAGTGGAAGATTCTAGGTAACCCTAAATTTATGAAATAAAGAGCCAATTACAAAACTCTAATAAAGAAATTAAGTAGGAATTTTATTATGCTTGAACTGGTAATATTTTATCTTTGAGGTGTTATTCTTCTAACTCTAGCCATTTTTTCTCCATACCTATGATAGCGTCTATAACCCTAGACCAAAGTGCTTAATTAAATAAAGTATATATACTTACTTATAGAAACAGCATTACACGATATCATTCTTCTTTTAGTAAAAAATGTGATATTATAAGAGGAATAATTATTGGTGGAGAATAAATTCCAATGCCATGGATAATTTAATCATTATATAATATATCTTTTTTTTTTACCTTTTTCCTTTGGATCGTAATTTTTTTTTCGTGGCATTGTATATATATTAGCTAATTAGATAATCCTCTTCTACAAAAAATATGGATGTACAAAGTTTTTAGTAGTTTGTTATAAAAAATAAAGTTTAACAATTGACTTGCAGAAGCTCCAAGCTCCAAGTGCTATATTTTTGACGTCAAATAAAAGCTCCAAGTGCTAACAACTGTAATTCGAGTGATTAAAGTATATTTATACTAAAACTGTTTACGTAATCCCTTACCTCATCACTGTAATCAAAAGACAGCGTGAATTTTCAAAGCTAAACGGTTGAGATCATGATACGTGTGCATTATATATTACCGACAACCTATAGATCCGGTGTCCGTCAAAGTGAGTTAGGCAAATGCACTTGAAGACAGGCAGCATCCCTGTCGGTTGCCCGCTCCTCACGGACAAGAATCTTCTTCACACTCGCCGTTTGATCTCCATTACCAAACAACAATGATAGAAAGACTCCTATACGTATAGAGATCGAACGTTAACATACAAGCATAGTGGCTTAGTGAAATATGAGGATTCAGATTCATTTCCAATCCGATCTTTATAAAAACAATTAAAGCATGAAATTAGACAATGCACTTTCAAATATATATAACTGTGAGAGTTGCTTTTACCTTCCGTTCTTACTACAAACAAAATTCGGAAGATTTTTAACTTTTTCTTTGTTTTTATTTTTCTCTAAAACACACGAAAACTACACTCATGAATAGTTCCGAAAGAAAAAAAAATCATAGGGCATGTCGATTATCGTCATGCTCGGTCATCGGATTTTCACAGCATGTCCAAAAGATTAGGCTACTGGCTACAACTCAAAAAAATATAGATAAAATATGAATGGTGCAACCGCGCGCGCAAAGAAAAAACGTTCCAAACTGATTTGTAAATTGCTACTTTTATCAAGCATAACGTTTTTTGTTTGTTTTAACAATAATTTGTCTACGGAATTATGCATATTATCTGATAATATAATATTATATCTTTGTTGCATAGCAATATGTACCGTAAATACTTAACATTCCATATTGTGCATTTTGTGGATATTGTGAAGTCAAACAAATCAATAGAGATGCCTAAATCACATAGCTCGATTTGATGTAATAACATGCCAGTCTTCCGCATGTGATACCATACAAAAACTAAGTCCGTTAAATTTGTCACCAAATACGAGCAAAACCTATTTCATAAAACACAATTTTAACATTTCATACAAATAAATTTCATACATATAAATTTAACATTTCTTCCTATTCTAATTTTCTAACATATATTTTAATCTGAATATAGATGTCAAGCGTATAAACCAATAACATAACGACACGTATGATGAGTTTCGTACGAATTCACATGGCACACATATTTTTTTTGCACTCATGCCCACTCCTTGTTTGGTGCATTTCTTAACCCAGTGCCCTCATATTTACTTTATTCTTGTCTTTTTGGCCCAATTTATTCTATTATTTTATACTGTAATTATTGTTCTACTAGCATTTAGCAGGTGCTTAGCCACTATTGGAAGCTTTAATTATATAATTAAATTAACATTTATTCTGATTCATCTTTTAAAGTCTCGGTACAGGTGTTGCACGCTGGGAGGACCACAAGCTTTTTACCTACAGTGTTTATTAAATTGTTATTATTTATTTTTTTAGTTAATAATGCATTTGCTTACTTACAAACGAAAGGAATTAAATCTTTACTCGCTTTTTTTTTAGAGGATAAATACTGGCTCTTTTGTTGTTTAAATTGTAATAATTAGTGACTTTGTTTATTTATGTGAACATATGCCAATTTTCAAATGTAAACCAAGACATTTCGTTGTTGTTATGTTATAAGCTTGTTTCTATATCGACGAAGTTGAATAGTCTAGTGACAAAGCTTGACTTCGAATTTCGTGTGGGATGTTAGAAAAATGTGGCTTTGGACCACTATGCCAGATGTAACTGAGTTTAGTTTTTAATATATATTTTATTTTAGAATTGCATTGGTACAATTACGAACTGTTGTAAATAAAGAAAACAAAATATTTAATATGATTTTTTTTTTGTTATCATGATATAAGCACAAGTCCTTTGATGTTTTTTTTTGTTATCATGATGTAAAGAATATCATAGATGAAAAAAAAAACTTATGTGTTGATTGATAAGTTAATTTGTTGTGGAGATGGAACTTATTTGTTTTTTGATAAAGCAGATGGACTTAATTGTTGTTGCCTGTACCAGCTGTCTCTGCCACCTTTCCAATTTGCTCATTGTTCAATCTTCCATGAGAATCGATTGGCCGAGCTCAATCCACTATCGAGGCTCCTTAGCCTGTGGTTTTCTTCCATTTCTGGTTCATCCTTCAGGTTAAAATCGATTGTTGGTTTCATTGATCCTTTGATCGGGATTGCCACAAATTTGTTTGAGTTAGGGATGCCGATTTTAACATCTTCCCTCTTTTTGAGAATGGTACTTATCCTGCTGGAAAATCTTATGAAAGTTTTACTGAATTGTCGTTTTGCATAGCGGTCTGTACAAGACCAGAAAAGACAAACCGAATTGCTTCAGCGAATCCCCGTGGTAAGACTTCAGCTTCAACTCTACTTGTCATTGTGACTATTTTCAAAGAATCCAGCTCTGCTGGGAAGACGATTTTGATGCATTCGAACTTAGTTTTGAATTCGCTGTCATGTTATCAGTTTCTATCTTTATTAAGCTTTGTTGTCCTTAATGTTAATGTGTATCTTAGTATTCAAAGAGGACGGATATTTTCCTCTTATTGTTTTATAGTTGATTAAGTAATGAAAGATTTCCTATATGGAATGGTTTGATAAAAAAAACGAACATCAACTAAGATTCCGCATAATTGTGTGATTGGTAACAAAAAAAGCCGCATAATTTCTTCTTTGGGTTTGTTAGAAATGCATTAATTTAAGATCATAGAAAAACATTGGTAAATAGCTTTCAAAAATGTTTAAGTTAGGATAAATCAAAATTAACTCACATGGTATGATCTGAAAAAAATAAAAAAACTCACATTGTGTGATGTATCCTTTAAGGAAGGTCTTATTGTTTCTTTTGAAAGTTATGATGTAGCCTTTGTCACTAATAATGGAATCATAGACCACCAAAAACTTACTGTGAAATATATTATATGGTTTTAATGTTTATGTTTGAATCCAAGACATTATTATTATTATTATTATATGGTTTAATGTCGTTGCGATCTAAGGGCATCTTCATCGCTCATCCCTTTAGTGAGGTTTATGGGTGTATTTAAATAATTTTTTTTTTGGAACAGTAAATTTGTCCCCACATTTCCTCAAAGCCGAATCAGAAGCTGCCACATATCGATGATACTCTCTTGATACAGGTTCATCAGTATCATTGGGAAGATACGATATGAATGGATTTGAGCTTTTTTTTATATTAATTTTAAATCCAAAAATGACGCCGGGCTCACCTAAGGGCTTCTCCAATCGAACTGCAAAACACCAATTATGGAGTTTCTCCTTCTCCAATGGGACTGCATATGAAACGCTATAATTTTTTTTATAGAGTTTTGTGAATAGTGCAACTTCAAATTTGGTGTTACACAATTCAAAAAACTCTAAAAAAATAATAATATTTTATTGTTACCTTTATTATAATATGAATATAGTATTAGTTATCATTTAATTAAATTTTACAACTACAATTAATATACTAAATTTTTGTTTTTATATTATCTTTACTTATAACTTTCATATTACTAATATAATTTATAAGAGTTTAATATTACTTATAAGAGTTTATAAAATTACTTATAAGAGTTTATTAGTTTTTTATAAGGATTCATAAGCTTTTCTACAAGAGTTTATAAGATTATAATAATTTTGTTATTGTTTTGTCAAAATGTCTATATTATATTTACATTATATTTTCATGTAATGGTTATAAATAATTAGTTGTTAATCTATTATATGAATAATTAATATTTATCAAAACTATTAAAAAATAAAGAAAATTTAAAATTCAATAATATTATAATAAAAATATTTTTTTTTTGGTATAAGATTTGGTGTTATGGTTCGAGATGAAAAAAATCACTATTCATCCAAACACCAAATTTGACACTACTCACAACACTAAAATTTGGTGTTTTGATGAATAGTGGTTGGAAATGGTCTAAGAGACTCTACTCATTCTGCGATGGAAATGCCCTAAGAGTATTGAACTATTAACATTTTAACCATGTGTGAAATTGGGTACGGGCTAGTGGGCTTCTCTTCGTTTGGGCATTTAGTACAGTCGAGAATAAAGAAGATCGGAAGAAAATTATACTATTTGATAATCTATTTTGCGTTGAAACGTGGGTTTCAAATGGGCTTTAATTTTGTGATTTTCACTATTGAATTTCAGCCACATATACAATACTACCACATTCACATACCAAATATAGAATATCAAAATCAATTTTGGAATTAGGTTATAGGTTCATGCGATGTGCATCTTCAAATTTCATCATAAAAATTATAATCAGTGATAATATTCGCATCCGATTGAAGCTGGCAACAAAGAAAGAACCTAAGAGATTTAATATGTTAGCTTGTTGATATATAATATCA